CCGCCAGAGAGACTGTTTCAACAGGACAACGCTCCACCGCGCAAAGCTCGTGTCACGGTAGACTACCTCTTATGCCAACATCAACGTCTTGCCCTGGCCGTCGAGATCTCCAGATCTCAACCAAAACGAACACCTCTGGGATGAACTTGATCGACGTGTGCGTCAACATCAAAACACACCGCAGACACTCCCGCAACTGGCCAAAGCGTAACAAGCAGAATGGCGCGGAATTCCGCAGTACAGAATTCGTACACTTATCCAGTTAGTGCCGAGGAGATGCAGAGCCGTGATTGCTGTTCAGCGCAACCTTGTGGCCTTATGTGACATGACAATGTACATTTTTCAGTGCCTTTGCACAACGACAACATGTGACTATCGAGCTACAAAATTTCATATTTCTATGATATTAAATTAAATATATCGACTTTATTAGGTACAATACATTTACTAAAAATCGACCTATGCGTTTCTTTTTTTGAAGAGTGTATATATACATCCAAAGAGCACGCTCTTTCAATCTCAGCCCTACAGTCGGGCACTCGCTCCGTGGTACCCCAAGCTGTGCAATCAACATGGTTCGGTTTCCTTGATCTATCAACTGAATTTACGTCCTGTCTGACCATTTTGGAATAAACTCCGGACTACAATACGAATTGTTATTGTTAGTTAAGTCAGGCACACTTCCACGTTTTCGAATGATTTGTGTCGAGAAAGTTGGTGTGAGTGATCTGATCGTGCAGCCGTTCATTCATACGCAACCCGTGACGATCCGGCGTAGAATACGTCTTCAGCAACCCATGCTTGCCGTAAAAGGCGACTATGCTTGTCGTAAGAGGAGACTAACGGGATCGGGTGGTCAGGCTCGCTGGCTTGGTTGATGAATGTCATCGTAGCCCAATTGCGTGGATCTATGCTCTCGATGTCAATCACAGGATTGTCTATTTACAGACCGCCGTCATATAGCTGGAATACTCAGGAATTCGATGATAGCTTGTATAACATAATATATTCCTATAGAAAACAAATGACACCCCTCTAAATACATAGAGACAAGGAGTGACACCCGCCATCTTGGTTCTTATTCAAGATTTCGCACTCGGTTCGAATCACAGCTCGATATCGCAACACCAGGTCAACACACACTATCATCACCGTACAGATAGTGAGTGAGTATGGTTTTACGCCGCTTTTAGCAATATTCCAGCAATATCACGGCGGGGGACACCAGAAATAGGCTTCACACATTGTACCCATGTCGGGAATCGAACCGAGGTCTTCGGCGTGACGAGCGAACGTTTAACCACTAGGCTTCCCGACCGCCCCTCGTACAGCTAGGAAACAGACAAAAGTCGTACTTGGCCATATGAAGGACGTATTTGAACACCTGAACAATTGCACCTCATCAGTATCGCTGACGCATTGATTAATAAATAACGCTGTTTTTTTCTATCGCAGAGTTATATTTGCATTATTTAGCGACCACTGAATATGGACTCCCTGTCTGAAGCGGGTATTCACGGTCTCCTGTCGACACAACTGGTCCCTATCTTTTAATTTTCCAATCACGTAATTGAGAGCCGCCATTAAAATAATTACTCTGATACAAACGATTTCCAGTTGCGTTACGCCCGTTTGTCCCCGAATGAAGTAATCACATGAAGTAATGATTGTTGATTTACTGTTCGCTCACTAATGTGTAGTCACGGAGATTGAGTACAATGAACACTGTTTGCTGGTCACACACTGATACATGTATACCATATCGTGAGTGAAAGACATGCGTTAACGCCGTTTTGAACAGTACCAGCACGGCATGGCGCCTCAGAAGTAAAGCATAATATGCTCCGTTTATTGTCTGGCCTTGTGGAGGACATCCGCCAGGGCGACTCATCGGATCCCAGAAGAGGAGGCCGTAAGCTTTTTTATCTGGTGGGACAGTGTTTGGCTCTTTGGGGGTAGTAATTAATTTCAATGCTTCCACTGTTTTGAAGCTTTCAGCTTTCATCCACAGTCACAAACCTTTCTGGTTCAGCTTCAAACAGAGTTAGATTACCTGGGGCGTTTATCGGCTCTCTGAAGACAGTTTCATTGACAACGTTCTGTGAAAATGTACTCTCCCCTGAGAAATGCCCGCTGAACTAGCAATATGAGCTCAATCATTCGTCGATCATCGCCATGTCGTGGATTCGATGGGTCATTTCTAGAGATGCTGACGCGACAGGCTTTCCAGGTTGGGGGGTGGGGGGTGGGGGGTGGGGTGAGGGTGTCATCTTCAAGACTCTCCCTTCCATGCTTACGCTCTCGGGTGCCGCCTCCGTGGTCTTGTGGTAGAGCGTCCGCCCGGAGAGCGGAAGGTCCGGGGTTCGATCCCCGGCCACGTCATACCAAAAGACGTTAAAAGATGGTACTTGTTGTTACCCTGTCTGGCGCTCGACATTAAGGGGCTAAAACAAGGACTGGTCGGCTCGGAGTCAGTATACTGTGTCTGAGTGGGGTATTCATGTTAAACTGCGGCATGGTATCTCAGTGAGCTAGCACTATAAATCGGCATCAGTCCGGACTAGTACAAGCAGCCACTCACACACACGTGCATGTTCGTCGCTATATAAGTGCAATAATCTTGGACGCGACGTTTAACCCAATTTCACCTCACCTCACCTCTCTTTACGGTGGCACAGAAAGGGGCATCCAACCCTACTGTTGTACTTATATCTTCATGAATGGCTTTGGTGTTGAGCTCTTATTTTGCAAGTACCCTATCGCCGCACGTTTCGCAAGTTTGTCCATTTTCCAAAGGTCACAGAACCCAGCTTATTGACCTGTCACAGTGAAACAATTGGCGAAACTGACTCAAGTGTTTGTGGATATAACTCTGTGACATCACGTAATGTCGACAACATTACGCAGTTCTTTCTACGTTATCAACCGACCTCCGAACTTTATTTTTTGTAGATTTATACCCATCTAAATTCTTTTATATACCAGACCGCCTGAGTGGTCTAGTAGTAGAGCGTCTGCCGGAGAGCGGAAGGTCCGGAGGTCATACCAAAAGACGTTAAAAGATGGTACTTGTTGTTACCCCGCCTGGCGCTCGGCATTAAGCGGCTAAAACAAGGAGTGGTCGCTTCGGAGTCAGTATACTGTGTCTGAGTGGGGTTTTCATGTTACAGTGCAGCATGGTATCTAAGTGGGCTAGCACAATCGGAATCAGTCCGGACTTGTACAAGCACGTCGCTTTGTAAGTGCAATAATCATGACCCGACGTTAAGCTCAATTTCACCCCACCTCTATTATATAACAACAACAATTGCAGACATGGACAGGCCAATGTACCTTAAAGCATGAAGTTATTGATTATGGACTTAACGTAAAGTAGACAGGGGCATTAGATTCGTGCAAGTGTTCAACGATAATGCTCGTTAGCTATTGACAAACTGGATTTTGTTGTCGCGGAAATCAGAGCAGAAAAACTATGTAAGAGGTTTTCACTATTGTGTGTTTGAAAAACAGATAAACGGCACTGCCGTGGCCTAAAAGGCAAACCCAAATGCGAAATGATTGCAATTATTTGTCTTTTGCTTCTACATATAGAAATACATATTGATTTCCTCGTAATGCTCTATGGTGGTGGAAGTCAGCACGTGGAATCAGGGCTCCAATTTGCTTTCGAGACTGTATTTTGTGATGTGCTTGCTAAAGCGAGATAAATACGACTGTAAATACAAAAGGAATCAGACTGAAATGTTGGTTCCGGAAAGACACGATGTGCTCTGAACGTTGAGCTTGCAGATGTTTGGTCCATGGTGCTGTGGAGTACCTAGAAGTCTTGTTTCATAGTCTATTTTTGTTTATTAAAGTCATTTACAGTCAAGAAACAATGGTCGAATATAGATATGTCTGTGATTCTGGATAAACATAAGCCGGGGTCATCTTGCAGACATCTTTTCATCTGTATCCTACGCCCCAGTTTATGTTAAGAATTCAAACGCCAGACAATAGCGTCATTCAGTCCATGAGTACAGTTTTACATCGCTGGGAGCAACACTCCAGCAATATCACGGCCGGGCACACCAGAAAGAGCTTCACACATTGTACATTGTACACAGGTAGGGAATCGAACCCGGGTCTTCTGTGTGACGAGCGAACGCTTTAACCACTAGGCTACCCCACCGCCTCAAAACACCGCTGATGAACTAGGTGTTGTTGACCTAGCATTCCAGTCAACGCAATTAGTAGCCATTTTGTTTTAAGCCACCTTTATCATCGCGTCTTGGAAATAATTCATTCTGGTGTGAAAGCGGTGGTCCGGCTACACAAACAGGCCAGTAGACGCCATACAGCTCCTACATGTACTTGCACTGACAACCGGTTGCGCCGGTGAAAACATTAACACTCACACACTGAAGTTGTCTGATGGCCCGAAATAAACAATATAATTTTTTCCGGAAGTCAGCATTATCAGCTGAAACATCATCAGCGTACCTGTTTTGTCACTAAGCAGACGCAGTGATAGGTGATTGGGCGGTCGGGTAGCTTAGTTGTTAAAGCGTTCGCTCGTCACGCCGAAGACCCGGGTTCGATTCCCAACATGGGTACATTGTGTGAAGCCCATTGCTGGTGTCCCCCGCCGTGATATTGCTGGAATATTGCTAAAAGCGGCGTAAATCTATTCTCACTCACTCACTCAGTGATAGGGGAATACTGTTCATGCATGTCCTTTCCATTCTTGTTTATCTGTCCGTGAAGATCCGGATTAAATGGCGGCTGTGCTTGTCGTAAGAGGCGGCTAACGGGATCGGGTGGTCAGGCTCGCTGACTTGGTTGAAGCATGTCATCGTATCCCAATTGCGTCGATCGATCCTCATGATGTCAATCACTGGATTGTCTGGCCCAAACTCGATTATTTACAGACTGCCGTCATATAGCTGGAATATTGCTGAGTGCGGCGTTAAACAATAAACAAACAAAACATCGTATTTATCTACATCTATTTATTTCAGGAGTATCCGGATCCTCCTTCATCACGACAGTCGATTATGGGCTGACGACATTGGCCACAAACACCACCAACACTGCCGACTGTGTGTGTGACTGCAGCGCGTTTGTCGCCATGTTTAACCTGACCCATGAACAGCTTGAGATCGAGATTAAACGAATATACAGCAGACTCTTACTCAATAAAGAAAACATTTCCGCTACAGTCCGGAAGCGCATCAGTGTCCCGGATTCTCGTCCGTCCGCGCAGTCGATTGGCTATGTGGGGATCCTTGTTCTCGTGGCGTCACTCGGCAGTATCGTCGTCCTTGACTTTACGACGTTGTTGCGAGATGTCAAGGTCGCAGTCGTCAATCTGAGAAAGTTCATGACACGGGACGATGTGAGTGACACGACCTATCACAGCGTTGCCTCGGGATCAGGAGCAAATAGGCCTGAGGAGAAACACGTTCGTTTGTCCATGAACTGATTTCAACGACACTGTATTTATTTGTTTTGTTGTGTTTCAAAACGTAATTTGTTTTGTTGCGTGTTTATTTAAAACGTGGAATATGTTTTTTATACTGTTAATAACGGTTTATTGTTTCTCCGATAACAGCAATTGGCACGCCATCGTTCATCAACGTGGGACCTGCAAGCCCTGTGCGAAACAGCATTGTTGAATAATAGTTTAAAAACTATGATGTGATATTGTCAGCTGTTTCGAGTGAATGAGTGAGTACACCACTTTCAGCAATAGTTAAGCAACATCATGGCGATGGACACCGGAAATGGGCTTCACACATTGTTCCTATGTGGGGAATCGAACGAGGGCTTCAGGCGTAACGAGCGGACTTTTACCCGCTTGACTACCCCACCTCTCGAACTGTTTCCAACTGTTTAGTGTTAGTTTTGCGTCGATGTAGCAGGGTGGTGGAGGCAGGTGGGTGCTTTTGAGAGGGGATCACAGTCGGAGTGCAATGGGACGGTATGCGATTATATGGGACCGGAAGTTGACTGGGAGTTGACCCGGCAATAATTACGATCTCAGTTGGAATGGACATGGAGTGGATAATTTCATAACCGTTTTATTTATTTTTTATTTGTGTGAACTTATTGTCTCTATGATGTGACCGTCGGTCATACATTTAGCAGTGTCTGAAATGACTATGAATTAATGTAATCCGATGTGTATATGTTTGTTTGTTGTTTAACGCCGCTCTCAGCAATAAACAAGCTATATGACAGCGGTCTGTGAATAATATAAGCTGGACCAGATAATCCAGTGATGGGCATCATGAGCATCAATCTATGCAATTGGGATACGATGACATGCACAACCAAGTCAGCGAGCCTGACCACCCGATCCCGTTAGTCGCCTCTTACGACAAGCATAGTCGCCTTTTACGACAAGCATAGTCGCCTTTTACGACAAGCATAGTCGCTTTTTATGGCAATCATGGGTTGCTGAAGACCTCTACCCCGGATCTTGACTGGTAGATGTGTATATGTACATGCTTTGTGTTTTGTGTTTCTGGGGTAACTCCGATCTGTATGAGTACATGTATTGTGTTTTTGTCTCCTAATTTATTTCTAGAAAGGCTGAGTTCGAATCCTTGGTTCGCCCAAATATTTTTCAAGGTTTGTCAGATCGTGGGTTTCACCAAAGTGGTAAACATCTGGGACCTGCATCACTTCCGGCTTTCCTCCAACATCGAGCTGTGATATGACTGGAATACTGTTTAACTGGGCGTTAAACCCAACTCACTCTAGCAAGTCAATTCTCATCCAGGCACTGGCGCTGACTCATTTGCTCAATGACGAAAGCTTGAATAAACATGTCACTCAACGCTTGAACATCTTCTTGGTTCGGGTTGTATATCTTCTCCCCAAAAAAGTCCGAACTAGGCTGGAATTTCTGGGCTCACTCGTAGCGCCGCCAGTGGTTACTACGAGTAATCTCCCTTCAATGTCCCTCCAGTTGATTCCACCTCTCACATCACTTGCATTTGCTTAAACAAAATGGCGGCGCCAGTCAAGACGATCTGATCGATAATCAAGATCTGCATTGTAATAAAACGGATCTTTCTTAGCGTAGCGCATCAAATCACATGAGCACCTTGATTAAAAACATGAAAAGATTTGGAAAATTTCTCTTGACGGCATGCCGACGGGACACGAATCCTGCAATCGACCAAAATCTGCAAGGCAGTTTACGAACCGGATGTGATTTGGTTTCGTGATTTTGATTGGACTATGCATAGACTCGTTAATCCATTCAAAATAGAACTCCATAATTCCAGCCTAGTTCGGCAAGGGTGAAAACTGGACTTATATAGTTAGGTAACTCCCTTGCCTTGGGAAGACGCGGTTGTATGACGTCAACCCTCCACCAGTGAACACTCTTGTATCCAACACATCACCAGCGAACACTTTTGAATCCTGCTGGACTCGAACAGGTCTCATGTGGTCTCAATGACGGCTGAGAACGTACCGTGTGTGAAGAGTTCTTTTCAGACCAATGTTACAGGTTTGAAATGGTTCACATAGTTTGTGATCGCACTTTGTGTCGGGTACACATTATCACACACACGTAACGAACCCATGACGCTTACATACCACAATAATGTAAGCCATGTTTGGGGATTAAGTTACGGTTCAAATTGAGCGTTCGATATCTACCTTTAAAGCTAATTAAAGCTTTTGTATTACACCTACTCGCTCACCCATTAACCCATCCACTCAAGAGTCATCCACTCACTCACTCACTCACTCAATGTAGATGCTGTAAGATGTAGAAGCTGATGGGTGTAGATGTTGTTTGGGGTAGATGTTGTTGGATGTAGATGTTGTTGGGTGTAGATACTGTTTGGTGTAGATGTTGTTGGGTGTAGATGTTGTTGGGTGTAGATGTTGTTGGGTGTAGATGTTGTTGGGTGTAGATGTTGTAGGGTGTAGATGTTGTTGAGTGTAGATGCTGTTGGGTGTAGATGTTGTTTGGTGTAGATGTTGTTTGGCGTAGATACTGTTTGGTGAAGATGTTGTTGGATGTAGATGTTGTTGAGTGTAGATGTTGTAGGGTGAAGATGTTGTTGGGTGTAGATGTTGTAGGGTGTAGATGTTGTTGAGTGTAGATGTTGTTGGGTGTAGTTGTTGTCGGGTGTAGATGTTGTTGGATGTAGATGTTGTTGGGTGTAGATGTTGTTGGGTGTAGATGTTGTTGTGTGTAGATGTTGTTGGGTGTAGATACTGTTTGGTGAAGATGTTGTTGGATGTAGATGTTGTTGAGTGTAGATGTTGTAGGGTGTAGATGTTGTTGGGTGAAGATGTTGTTGGGTGTGGATGTTGTTGGATGTAGATGTTGTTGGACGTAGATGTTGTTGAGTGTAGATGCTGTTGGGTGTAGATGTTGTTGGGTGTAGATGTTGTTGAGCGTAGATGTTGTTGGGTGTAGATGTTGTTGGGTGTAGATGTTGTTGAGCGTAGATGTTGTTGGGTGTAGATGTTATCGGGTGTAGATGCTGTTGGGTGTAGAAGCTGTTGGGTGTAGATGTTGTTTGGTGTAGATGCTGTTGGGTGTAGATGCTGTTGGGTGTAGATACTGTTGGATGCAGATGTTGTTGGATGTAGATGCTGTTGGGTGTAGATGTTGTTGGATGTAGATGTTGTTGAGTGTAGATGCTGTTGGGTGTAGATGCTGTTAGGTGTAGATGTTGTTGGGTGTAGATGTTGTTGGGTGTAGATGTGTTGGGTGTAGATGCTGTTGGATGTAGATGCTGTTGGGTGTAGATGGTGTTGGGTGTAGATACTGTTTGGTGTAGATGCTGTTGGGTGTAGATGTTGTTGGGTGTAGATACTGTTTGGTGTAGATGTTGTTGGGTGTCGATGTTGTTGGATGTAGATGCTGTTGGGTGTAGATACTGTTTGGTGTAGTTGTTATCGGGTGTAGATACTGTTGGATGTAGATGCTGTTGGGTGTAGATGTTGTTGAGTGTAGATGCTGTTGGGTGTAGATGTTGTTGGGTGTAGATGTTGTTGAGTGTAGATGCTGTTGGGTGTAGATGTTGTTTGGTGTAGATGTTGTTGGCTGTAGATGCTTATGGGTGTAGATGCTGTTGGGTGTAGATGCTGTTAGGTGTAGAAGCTGTTTGGTGTAGATGTTGTTGAATGTAGATGTTGTTGTGTGTAGATGTTGTTGGGTGTAGCTGCTGTTGGGTGTAGAAGCCGTTTGGTGTAGATGCTGTTGGGTGTAGAAGCTGTTGGGTGTAGATGTTGTTGGGCGTAGATGTTGTTGGGTGTAGATGTTGTTGGATGTAGTTGTTGTTGGGTGTAGATGTTGTTTGGTGTAGATGTTGTTTGGTGAAGATGTTGTTGAATGTAGATGCTGTTGGATGTAGTTGTTGTTGGGTGTAGATGCTGTTGGGGGTAGATGTTGTTTGGTGTAGATGTTGTTGAATGTAGATGCTGTTGGATGTAGTTGTTGTTGGGTGTAGATGTTGTTGGGTGAAGATACTGTTTGGTGTAGATGTTGTTGGATGTAGATGTTGTTGGATGTAGATGCTGTTGGATGTAGCTGTTGTTGGGTGTAGAAGTTGTTGGATGTAGATGCTGTTGGGGGTAGATGTTGTTTGGTGTAGATGTTGTTGGGTGTAGATGTTGTAGGGTGTAGATGTTGTAGGGTGTAGATGTATATGTTGTTGGATGTAGATGTTGTTGGGGGTAGATGTTGGGGGTAGATGTTGTTGGGGGTAGATGTTGTTGGGTGTAGATGTAGATGTTGTTGGGGGTAGATGTTGGGGGTAGATGTTGTTGGGGGTAGATGTTGTAGGGTGTAGATGTTGTTGGGTGTAGATGTTGTTGGGTGTAGATGTTGTAGGGTGTAGATGTAGATGTTGTTGGAAGTAGATGCTGTTGGGGGTAGATGTTGTTTGGTGTAGATGTTGTTGGGTGTAGATGTTGTTGGGTGTAGATGTTGTTGGGTGTAGATGTATATGTTGTTGGATGTAGATGTAGATGTTGTTGGGTGTAGATGTATATGTTGTTGGGTGTAGATGTATATGTTGTTGGGTGTAGATGTATATGTTGTTGGGTGTAGATGTTGTAGGGTGTAGATGTTGTTGGGTGTAGATGTATATGTTGTTGGATGTAGATGCGGTTAGATGTCATTGTTGGATGTAATTCCACATATTCTAGCTTCCCCGCGCATGAGTGTCATATCATGTCATCAAAGCCAGCGTATTTCCCGGCGTCCGGATTCAAAATCTTTCAACCGCCCTTCAGGTAAAGTAACCTAAATAAGCTTAAGTAGAATAATTCAGGGATCGTGTTTTCAGGACGGAATGTGTTTGAACAGTGACACAATTTCCGTAAAACAACAACACCCATGGCGCACTGTGAGGAACCAGGCTGCACTTACTTAAGCTCACAACGTAATTACGGCACTTTACGGCAGAACCTGTCGCAATCATCGTACCGATTGAAGTTGTCATCGAAAGGGAAATTATCAGCATTAATCAATGATTTCATCAACACGTGTTGCGTTTGATAGTACTGACCTCGAGTTGGGCACATCACAACATCTCGTTGACATGAAAACACCATCATTGCTTCCATGGCAACGACGCTACAATCCCAAACTTTGTTGTTTCTTTAACCAGGCTTTCTTTTATCCCGTGTAACAAAATAAAGTGAACAATCTGATTTGAGAATTTCAATAAGAATCATTAATGACCTGTCAGACAGACGTGGCTGGAACAGTCCTTGTGAAAGACGAAACCCAGGACTGTTTACACCCAAAAGACGACTGTAGTATCCACGTGAACCGCCTCGATAAATAGTTATATTGATTGGATTAAGTGCATTATAGCAAATGTGTTTTTTTCTCTCTTGAAATATAACATTTTTTTTCGTTGTTGCTGAAACAAAAACTTTTCAGGCGTTTTAAGCCAAACGATGTTTGCAGTTGTGTACTGAAATATGCATGTTGCCATGGGGATAGTGCCTTCACTCAAGTCTGAGCTGGGTGCACTTGTACTCCTACTTGCCTTGAGAAATACAACATATTTTAAGGAAGGAATCTAAAGGGAAATAAATTTTGAAAACTGCTATTAAAGAATAGGCTTCAATATATTTTTTGCGTTTTTGGAAATGCAATCCGGTGTGCACACGGGGTAAATCCCCGTAGGTCATCTTCCCGAGGCAAGGAAATTAACTACCTATAAAAGTCCAGTCCCTTGCTGAGCTAGGCTGGAATTTCGGAGTTACATTTTGGCTGGACGAACAAGTCTGTGCATTGTCCAATCAAACTCGCGTAACGAACATGGGTCAGGCTCGTCAACAACAGGGATTTCAACGTGCAGATTTCGGTCGACTGCAGGATTTGCAAACATGAGTTCCATCAACTGGTCGTCGACAGGTATTTACCAAATGTTTTCATGTTATATCAAGGTGTACTTTAATGCACTTCGCGACATAAGACCCGTTTTATTACAATATAGATCTTGATTATCGATCAGATCGTCTTGATTGTGCGCCGCCACTTAGTCATGTGAGAGGTGGAATCTGATTGGTCAAAAGGAGGCACATAGAAGGGACATAACTTGTGATAGCAACTGATGGCGCTACCACCGAGACACGAAATTTCAGCCTAGTTCTGCAAGGGTGGTAACCGGATTCTTATGGTCAGTTAACGCCATTGCCTCGGGAAGATGGGGCTGGGATGCACACTGGTTTTTACCTATAAAACTTCATAAACGCAAAAGCACAATGAAGTCAATTCAAATAAATAAATACGTCATCAGTAATAACGTTTAAGACTGCTTATTTAATGATTAACACACAAAGCTGTAGACAACATGGAATCAGTCGTTCAGCGCACTAATGCTCAACCCATACCATTATCTGCCAATCAGAAAGATGTTTTCAGCCAATCAGGAAAATGTAAACAGTGAGTGGGCGTGGTCTTTTTCTTGATTAACCAATCAAATGCCACAGAAATACTTGTAATTTATTTATTGGGAATTATCCTAAGCTGCCCCGTACACGTGTTACCTAGTAGACACGTGACAGTCACAACATCTAAGTTTTTGACTGGCTGACTCGCGAACTTCCCGGTACTGCTTTTCTTTGCTCCACTCTTGCTTTCCACACTCACTCCAGGGCAGAGCATCACACGCAGTGAGTGAGTGTGAGTGAGTGTGGTTTTACGCCGCTTTTAGCAATATTCCAGCAATATCACGGCGGGGCACACCAGAAATGGAACACATTGTACCCATGTCGGGAATTGAACCCGAGTCTTCAGCGTGACTAGCGAACGCTTTAACCACTAGCCTCCCCCACCGCCCAACCACTCATCGGAAAAAATCGGAGATACACTTATATATAAGGATGGGGTCGTTAAAAGGCGAGCGCATTTAGCTCCATCGAGCCTCATCGGGCCATGCACCTGTCATTTAAAAGTGTTTGTTGTTATCTGTACATTGTCTGGGAGTTGAGAAATATAAACGTTACACATACACGCACATACACACACGCACGCACGCACGCGTCAACTACGAGTTTCAAATAATTTCAGCTCATAACTGTCACAAGATGGCTTCAATTCAGCGAACTTTTTTAATGCATACTGAACAACAAAAGTTCCTGTGACACTAAATAAGATTTAATGCAAAGTTATGTTTTTTTAACCAAATCTGAAACAATTTAGGTTTGCAACAAATAAAAGACTCCTGTAAGTGTTCAAATGGTTTAATTTGCGATACTGACTTCAGAAAATGCGTGATTTCATTAAAAAAAAACCATGAACATGCCAAAATGTCAATTTACAAATCAATAGCATGTGTGTCCACCTCTGGTTGCGATGCAAGCAACACATCTTCGTCTCATGGAATGGACCAGGCGTCGCACAAAGTCCTGTGGGATATCTGTCCATATCTGCTGGAGCATGTTTCGAACTTCCTGGAGTGTCTGTGGAACACGTGGTTGACGTCGAAGGCACCGATCCATCTCATCCCACATGTTCTCGATTGGTGAGCCGGCCAGGGGATGACATTCATGAAGAGAATCCTGTACAAGTCGAGTAATATAAGGCCGGGCGTTGTCATGTTGAAAGGTAATGCCTGGGCCATGACGACGCAAAAACGGTAGAACAACAGGGCCGATGATCTCGTCGCGGTAGCGCTGTCCATTGAGATTTCCCTCTACCACTATCAAACGGGTCCGCTGTCTTGCTGTAATCCCACCCCATGTCATAACGCTGCCGCCCCCGAACCGATCTTCTTCCATGACACAATGATTGACGTAACGTTCACCTCGGTACACTCGAATCCGTCCATCGCTGTGGCTGAGTTGATAACGAGACTCGTCAGTGAATAGAACTTGTCCGCTGTCTGCACCACTGTAGACGTGCTTGACGGTGGTTTCCTGTCAAAATGGGACTTCTGGCGGGTCTTCTTGCGACAATCCCTCCACATCTGAGGCGACGACGTACGGTTTGTGAAGATGTCCATCGAAGGCCAGGGATGCTTCTTGCAGTCACTGTTGCTGGCTGGAATCGATTTCGTAGGTGTGTTGTTCGAATCCAGTTGTCTTGTCGATTATTGCCACGCCGAGGATGGTCTCTGACTGCATTCGTCTGTTGCCAACGTTGCCATAAACACCAAACGGTGTTTCTGTGGACGTTAAATTGTCTTGCAACATCACGTTGACTCGAACCTGCTTTAAGCATACCAATTGCTAGCAGACGCTCATTTTCGGACAGGCGTGGCATTTCGTAATGTTGAATAATTGCGTAATTTTGTTGTTTTTCTGAGTGGTTGTTGTCAGCACGATGCTAAACAATGCATATGGAATCCTGTTAACGCACATGTTTTTATACCCATTCTTGAGTAGTGAAAGGCATGGGACTTGCATAAAAGTAAACCTTTGCATGGAATGCATGCTTTTCTGCGTTTTTGTGACTTGATTCCATAAATGTACTACAATACTGAAAACCAAACTTTACCTGTTTGACAAATACTAGTATTTATTTATTCTTTATCTGAAGCACGGTATTTTTTCCTTTATTAAATATTATGAATAATAACTCATATATGTTACAGTCATAATTTATGGTATGTATCATACGGATACATAAGAGTGTAGTAATATCTTTATCATATGATGTCATTCAGTTGTTGAGGGAACTGACCAATGAATGACCGGCAGCCATGTTTCGGTGACACAGTGGGCATCCCCTATCTGAGCACTTTTGGAACGTTACTCAATTGTTTACTGAGAATGAAGGCATCGCATTGACGTATGGAGATGGATGGAAGCAGTCCCCACCAGGCGAACCACGATACCAAGTTTATTAAATTGGTTTAAAACAAAGGCCTTCATATGATATTTACTACCAAATGTGCCTGTTCCTCAGTAGAAGCTCGGGATACGAGTGAAGCAGTGGTCTCCAGTCAGCTGTGCCGAGTTACACGCCCGGAGTCCTTGATCAATGGCACCACATTCGCCCAACGTACGACACTTGGTCTCTCTCCGCCATACATGTACTCGAGGGATTTTACCAAAGCTGAAACAATCTACGTGAAGCTGACTTGCCGTGAAGAACTGCAGTAATGTAAGACGCGGCGTAAAACCCAACTAACTCACTCACTCACTCACTCACTCACCCATCCACCCACCCATCTTCTCACTAACCTACCCAGCCACTCACTCACTCACTGTAGTGCATCCCAAAAGTAAAAGTTGACAATTGCTTTCCGAAAGAGTTGTTTTGACAAGTTCTAAAAATGTACCCCACTTTAGGTGGGTCTGTACCAATATGTGTGCCCTACATCAAACGGAGCCGCCGTGAAATACTTTACACAGCGGAATTAAATCACTCACCCACTTACTGTATATCTGTGAACAGTGAACGGTATCATTGTCTTGCTGTTATCAGTACAATGTGTTATCAGGACGAAGTGTTATCATACAAACGTGCGTGTCCAGGGATACAGGCCGACTATAATCTCGTCAGCCACTGAAACAGGTAAGGCGGCGTTCATTTGTACGGCACTGACACTCTTTATCACATATACGACTGATTTTAAAATGTGTTGCTAACTTCGTTAGCTTTCGACAACATGTTTATAGTAATATTCGTCCAGTATATATTGTATTATGAAGCGTTATAGGTCTATACAACATCCATCAGAATGTACGTCTTCGTGTGGGAGGGATGCGGTGGATTGGAGGGGTGGGTGGGGTGGGGTGGAGTGGAGGACGTATGTGGCCGAGGTGGAATTCAGGATGACAGCTTACAGATCACTACACGTGTCATCAACGTGCACGAACACTGTTAGTTTTCTAACTGAAGTAACAACAGTCTGACGACAGTTACACTTCGGCTTTCTTCGGCCTTTTCCGACAAAAAGCGATAGGGGAAATATCACTCTACTATCTGCATACATTGGACCAACCAGGCACACATTGTTGACAGAGATTGGTTGTGTGATTTCTGTACAAGAACACTTGGTATGATATATACATAATTTCTACATACCTGAATGTTTTAATAAAAAGGACAAAACACCTTCCATATTCATAAGAAAAGCAGAGCCCATATTGTACAATTCTGACTATATCATGAGCAGGTGTTTATAAAACACTATCCAATAGAGACGATACCAGGTGTTCGCGAAAAGGTGGGGTTTCCTGTCCCACCGGTGGCACAAACACATGCAAAGGCAAGTCAAATGTTCAGCTGAAATGACACGGGAACTTAGGGATATATGGTATTGCACCTGACGCTTAAGTTCAATTTCTTGGTCAAATTGCCTTGTTTTGACTTTCCAGAAATTCCGATTCATATGCATAAAGACATAGAACCGCAAGAAGGGGGGGGGGGGGGGTACGAATTCCACCTGTTTCAAATACTTACTGTGAATATCAAGAAAGTCCTTCCTTGCGTTTGTGAAGGGTTATGGTCAGTCTGCGAGACAGGGTGGTGCATTTGCTGGACCCAGCAATATATCTCTTTGTTCGGATTTTTATGTAACCCAGTACAAGAGAGGCAAAGGCATGTCCTCAGGTTTAAGGGTCAAGTCAAAAGTTGCTAGAACAGATGCATGGTTTTGACAGATTTCCCCCTCAGTTCGCATACTGGCATCTTATCCAATAGAAATCTCTCCATAAAGCAGAGTCGATTCTACGATTCCGTCTACATCATGAGCATGCATGTGTTTTTAATGACTATGAAATAGTGATGACACCAAGCGTTTGCGACAAGGTGAGTGTAACCTGCTCCACCAGTGGCACCCGTCACAAACGCCGCACTCAGCAATATTCCACCTGTTTCAAATACTTACTGTGAATATCAAGAAAGTCCTTCCTTGCGTTTGTGAAGGGTTATGGTCAGTCTGCGAGACAGGGTGGTGCATTTGCTGGACCCAGCAATATATCTCTTTGTTCGGATTTTTATGTAACCCAGTACAAGAGAGGCAAAGGCATGTCCTCAGGTTTAAGGGTCAAGTCAAAAGTTGCTAGAACAGATGCATGGTTTTGACAGATTTCATGAGCATGCATGTGTTTTTAATGACTATGAAATAGTGATGACACCAAGCGTTTGCGACAAGGTGAGTGTAACCTGCTCCACCAGTGGCACCCGTCACAAACGCCGCACTCAGCAATATTCCAGCTATATGACGGCTCAACAAACAAGTGAAGTCAATTGTTTACCTGAAAAAACACGGGCACATATGATACAAGACAAAATAGGGAACTGCATCCATTATTTTTGTCACTGATATGTCAACTTTGGAAATGTCCCCTACATGCTTTGGTTTGTTGGTTTGTTTGTTTGCGAGCCTAACCCCCCGATCCCGTTAGTCGCCTTTTACGACAAGCATCGTCACCTTTTACGACAAGCATGGGTTGCTGAAGACCTATTCTATGCACCATAAAACTTTTATCAAAGAAATATGATATAACGCTAAAAACATCGGAGTATATGCTTACACCTTCATCAGGTGATAAAGGAGTAAACATAAACTCCGAAACGCTTTGTTCCTCAATATAAAGAAGTTGACATCGGTACATTCTCTCTCTAATGTGTACAACTTCTAAATGCCAGTAAAAGATAAGTAGACACAATGTTAGTCATTTAAAATTAACGTCGCATCTGCAATATCTTAATCATATAGGGACCAACTCTAGTATCGTTGCTATCAAACACTGGTTTACCTTGAATAGACTCGAGTAAATAAACACCGTCATGATGGAGATTTAAAACATATATGTGATCTCATTCTATTGTTTAAAAGCTCCATTATTTTTCAGGAATGGAAAGTTACTCGGACATTCCCCTCTACGTAATGTATTGATTGCATGCGGCATACCATGACATTCATCCACTTATTCGTTACAGATGCATGAACTCCGCGCAGCGCCAACATGAAGATCTTCATCCTGCTCTCTACCATTCTCCACGTTTGTTTGGCAGTCAAAGACGCCAGTGTGTGTACGCAGCCTACCCAAACAGGACAGTGTAAGGAGTTTGTGTCCTGTACATAATATAAAAGCTTAATCATAATTATTTTTCATACTGTACAAATGAAACATCAAATGTTAGAATGATAAGGACTGCCATCTTTGTGCGGAGTGAGTGAGTGTGTGAGTGAATGAGTGAGTGAGTGTGAAAAAGGAAACCAGTTACGACATATTATGGTCACGTGTCACCTTTGATCTTCCAGTCTTTGAGTGTGTCTCGAGGATCCTCTCAACCACCGAACAGTGGCGGATTAGCTTACATCTGCTGACATTTTGTTTGCGCACTTCATACCATGATAACATGTTGATTTGGTTGTTAAAGTCAAATTATTAATAATGGTTCACCCCCCTGGATCCCGCACAACAAAACAGACAACGCCATTATCAACAAACAACAAAATTAGCAATTAACAAACTTATATTTAACTTAAAAAATGTATCTTGTTTCCGGTTTTTAATTGTATTAAATTTTAATGGCACCCCATCTTTTCTAAACGTCGCTTGCGTCATAAACGTCAAACAACATCACACTAGTCAGAAGTGTGTAACTTGAAAGGTGAAGTACACCTGTTACATCTTCGCTTTCGTGTAACAGATCCCTGTGTTTACGCCGAGTAAAGTTATCGATCAATTCTGCCCACGTTTATCGAGTAGTATGACCTTTTAAAACACGAACGGAAACATGCATTGGAAAATACAACGCGAGGAAGAGAACTTGAGAAGGTGGTCTCAGAAAGAATTAACTTATTGAATTTACAGAATTAGATATGTATTTTTTTACCTTTTGCTGCAAGGCCGTGGAACAACTCACAAACACGTTTCCTATCGAACCGTGGAGATGCGAAATTAGTTGGGTAAGATTAATTGTGATATCAAACACACATGCCAGGGAACGGACAATGGAATTGAGATGCAAACGTATAAACCGTCTTTGAAAACGACTTAATAGTTTCTACTTCCGGTGCAGCAAATCTACATGCTTTCCACGAACGACGAGACAATGCACGCGCTGTTCTCGGGAACATGACCATTTAAGGTTGTAGAAAACAGCCCAAACCCGATGCCATCGGGGTGATGTAGGCAGGGGAGGAACTAGGCACCATGTGCAGATGCTCCTAAACGCTATTTCCTGTATTTGGGGACCTTATATCTTTTTATTTTATTTATAACAAGTATTGGTAATTTGTTATTATAATGTTTTATTTGCAATATATATATATATATATATATATATATATATATATATATATATATATATATATTGCAATTATATATAGCGATATATATATATATATATATATATGTGTGTGTTTCACCAACACATTTTCGGCTATGGTGACAAATGAAATATGAACATTAAAACGAATAGATACTTTTATTTGTTTTTACATGTTCATTCGTATGTGATGGTTATTCAGTGTTTCATATTTTGACGCGAGCCGACCTATCATTATAATGAAAATAACTGCGCGAGCACGATTTGCTTACGTCACAAACCATCTACCACTAAAATCCTAGTGCGTAGTAAAAATTCCGATTTTCAAGTAAATAAATATCACGTTCGACTGTGTAGAGTTTAAATTAATAATTTACTGCATAGATGGTAAATTGGGGTTTACTTATAAAAAAAACTTGTGTTGGTTTTTTTTGGTGTGAAAAAAAATGCTGCTTTTTGTGGTGAAAGCAATTACTTTTCTGCTCCAATGGTAGTTTCGCCCCTGGTAGGTAGAAATTCACCCAGATAACGCCATACCTTCATGTTTAAAGAGAATCTCTAGGTTTGACTCAATACTTAACACTAATGCGTAGAATCGATTCAGGCTATGTCGGCGTCAGGTCGGGATCCTTCTATTATACCGCGAGACATGTAAAGACAAGTCAGCTTTTGATGACGGAAACTGACGATCCATACGTCAACACTCAGAACCTAACTTCACAACCATACCTATCTCGGATGTATGACATGGATGCAAGAATAGCTTCTAATGTCTTTGCTTCCTCAAACATTTAATGGCCACTTACCAAGATGAATGACAGTAATGAGTTATAAGTTTGTTTATGAAGTTCATTAAGCACAATACACTTCAGTAGTCGTTAAAGGGAGACTCTCTCCTCTGCCTGACACAAGGACAGGTCCTGACGTCACAATTAGTCTGTTGCGTTAAACCAAGACAACATGTTTGTGTAATTAGGGTAACAACAGCTGTGTGCCTAGCTTACTGCTAGATGGGTAGGTATTAAAACAAAATTGCATTCCCAAGAAGATTGTGTTGAATGACATGAATTAAACTTTCTTGGACAATTACCCCTCTGTAACTGATGGACCCGTGTAGATCCGGGGTAGAATAGGTCTTCAGCAACCCATACTTGCCGTAAAAGGCGACTATGCTTGTTGTAAGAGGCGTCTAACAGGCTCGGGTGGTCAGGCTCGCTGCCTTGGTTGATGCACGTCATCGTATCCCAATTGCGTGGATCCATGCTTATGATATCAGTCACTGGATTGTGTGGTCCGGACTCTATTATTTACAGACCGCCGTCATATAGCTGGAATATTGCTGAGTGCGGCATTAAACAACAAACCAACCAACCAAACCTGTAACTGGTGAATGCATGCGGCTTAAATATACAGTTCGTTACATGAAAATGTCAATATTTACCATGACAAACATTACCAAACAAACATTGTAACATAACGGGACTTTGTGGAGACACTATATTCTGTACTTTACAGAAATCGGGAAGTTAATTGGATAACAAACGGAAAAAAATTGACCCGCTTCACGACAGCTTCTCGATATGCCGAATTGTGCCGAGTTATCCTAAACATATAAAATAGAAAGTGTATTTACAAATGGTCCCGTGAAGATTCCGGGTTAGAATTGGTCTTCAGCTACCCATGCTTGGTTGAGAGGCGACTAACGGGATCTGGTGGTCAGGCTTGCTGACTTGGTTGATGCATGTCATCATATCCCAATTGCGTGAATCGATGTTCATGATGTCAATCACTGGATTGTCTGGTCCAGACTCGATTACCTACAGACCGCCGTCATATAGCTGGAATATTGCTGAGTGTGGCGTTAAACAACAAAGAAACAAACAAAATTTACAAATAAAGCATTACAGGAGAAATTAATGAATGAATAAAATCGACCATAACCTAAAACTTGTGGAATTTTTTACTTTCAATATATATATAGACTGCTCTTAAAAACACTTCATTTAAATACTTACATTACCAAACAGTAGCGAATCTGTTTTAAAGCTTACACCATTTAATAACTCATCAGCAAACCAAACACATGCAGGGGACTGGTGGCACAGTCGTCTCAGGTGCTGCAATCAATTGTGCAGGGTTGCGTCCCTTAGGTGTGCCAGGAACCTGTAAATAAATATAATGCATACAGTTATACTGAAGGTAACATTGATGTACAGAAACATACCTTGGTTTAGGTATCTGTCGTCGGTATTACTATTAAGTTTACAATGAAAAGTTCCAAATTACAAGACTTTTTTTGTTATGTCTGTAAACTAATGTTCTATTCATCAGAAGTTGTTTGATAAAATCACTCTGAACACTAAAACATTGTTTGTTCAGCTGCTATAAATAAAAAAATATCAATATAAAAAATAAATAGATATATAAACTATTGTCCAAAAGAAACGATACCACGTGTTTGAAAGGACATTACAAAAAAACAAAACGATACAGACATTTCAAATTGGTATATGACTTGTGAGTAATGTTTTCACAGTATGTGTACAAACATTCATTGTAATCAATCCTTTACAATCATGAGGACAGACATGTAAAGACGCGGGGGGTCCAAAATGAAATTTTCATTTGAACAGAGTTGATGAGTCAAGTGTGGAAAATGTCACAACACACGTCTCAAAGTCACGTTAGTACCGGGTATGTCCACCGTGAGCGTCAATACACGCTAGTACACGTCTACGGGCTGATGACGTCAGCGGCCGACTTTGCGGCCGAGAATGTCCCACATGTGTTCGATTGGGTTCATGTCCGGTGAACATGCCGGCCATGGTAAAACGTGATTGTTGACGTTTGCTAGGAAGTTCTGGGTCAGCCTTGCCGTGTGAGGCCTCGCATTATCGTGCTGGATACCATTAAGCTGTTGTTGGATGAATGGCACCACAACTGGTTGTAAGATGTCATCACGATAACGCTGCGCATTCAGGTTTCCTCGAATAACGACGAGTCTCGTTTTGACGTCACCGCAGATTCCACCCCAAACCATTAAACCTCCGCCTCCATATGCACTGACTTGATGGATGCAGTTCGGTGCCAACCGTTCACCTACTCTTCGGTACACACGCTGCCGGCCGTCATTCCTGAAGATGCCAAATCTGCTTTCGTCAGAAAACATGACACGTGCCCAGTTCCACCTTTGCCACCGTCAAAGTCGCCTGGCCCATATCCGTCTGTTGAGTCGGTGTTGAGGTGTCAGGAACGCTCCGCGGTAGGGGCGACGTGCTCGGATACCATGTGCCCGCAGTCTCCTGTACACGGTTTGTCGACTTGTCACGTGTCCCAGTGCCGTCCGTGCCGATAGCGTCGCCGTTACAAAGCGGTTCCGAAGGTGAAGTACCCAGATGTGGCGGTCTTCAATAGGCGTGGTCACCCGTGGTCTCCCGGTTCTCGGCCTGTCTGCTGTCCGACCTGTTTGACGCAGCCGCTGCATTAACCTGGTGACGGTTATGCGCGCGCATCCTAACCTTCTGGCGACGTCGCGGTGCGTAGCTCCCTGTTGGAGCATTCCTACGGCTCTCTCTTTCTCAATCGCTGTCAAACGTGGCATTTCTTTTGTGTGCTTTTTGTTGCTGTGATCCCAACGTGTCGGGTCAGAAGGTTTATACAGAAGATATGCACGTGCATTTCGTGTTACGGGGCGGAACGTCATTTGGGCAAATTGCACGCTTTTTCTCAATTGATCAAATGTTCCCGGTTTTATCGACCGAATACGTTTGGTTTGGAACGTAGGGTACGCAAAAGTACCTTTTCAGACGAAAATTAACTCTTCATAATAAAATATTTAGAAAAATGTGTGGTATCGTTTCTTTTGGACATTAGTTCATTTAGAAAATTAAACATTTTTTATTTTATATTATTTGATTGCGACTCCCAATGAAACAAGATATAATAACAGTTGTTCTCGTGAGAACTTTTATCGCGTAATTATAAAGTATATGTTTGTGAAAACCTGATAAATAAAGAACATGAGTAGAAGATCCACCAAGCGATAAATTGGTTAACGACAAAGGTAGTGAGAATGGCACACTCTTGGTTGTCTTGCTGTCTGGCCTAGATGTTGGACAAAGGCCGTGACATCGGGAAGCTTTCAGTGGCATTGCAATGTGTGGACAGATAAGATGTGTTTATAGGTCAAATGTTGAAGCGAAGCTTTTGACACACTAAGCTAAGACATAAGGTTAGTCAGTTAAAATAATGAAATTAGAGTAGGAATTAAAGACACAGCAGAATGTTTGTGGGGTAGTACATGTGAAAATGCAGATCATCTTTTCTTTGAATGTGAATTGTTTAAGGAAGAAAGAGACATTTTACTTAGAAACATAAGCAGTATAGCCGAAGATACACCAACTGATCTCAATTTGATATTAAATGGAATTGGGGATTTGCCGGAACAGGATAGCATTAATTTTCAATTATGTTCAGTTATATACGTATTACAAAGATATTTATGTAAACTATATTGTTCTCACTGTTCACTTATCTCTCCTATTCCTTTCTTTCATTCTGTTCCGTTCACGTTCAGTACAAGCTGTAAATCAATGGGGTAAATATCCGGGAGAAGGGGTCCTGAGTTGGGGAAATTGTACCCAATCCCGTTCACTTTTTGTGAATAAAGTATGTTTAAATCAAATCAATCTTTTGAGAAAAACGGAGGAAAGGAACTTCATTTCTATTGGCCACATATGCATTTTGGTTTACCGGCTACATTCTGCATATAAACTGCGACATAGCGGCGAGTCCCGTTGTAGTACTGCATAGCCTATCAACGCATGCGATCATGGGCCGTTTCTCAGATGTAGAATAGATCTTCAGCAACCTATACTTGCCGTAAAAGGCTTGTTGTAATTATTACTTAACCAGCCCGAAGAGTCGGCATCCCATGTAGTTGCCATTAGTCGTCATTTTGCAAGATTGTTATACGGCGATGTGTGTCATACTAATTTTACGAATTGTAAGTATTGTCGAACGATCTTCTGCTATGACGATTTTTCATTCATAACTTACGTCACAATAAGATTCGAATGGTGCGCGTGAAACCGCAAAGTGATATTGTTTCTAACCCGGTTGGTAATAAATTCTAGTATTTTATCTTCAGAGGCAAAATATTATATTCTATTTCTATCTATTCTATGTTTGCAATCTCTGTTTACTTAAAACTATTTCCATAAATATTTTAACGCCATGAGCAAGTCGCCATGACGCAAGAGTCTGTTTTGCGTTCCAGATCACGCGAAGCCGAAGATTCCCGATCAGTTCAAGGTCAAGGTCGAATGTAACCTACTTGACAAGAAACAAACGACAATAATCACGGAAACATACGACTTTTACAACAACAGAGGAGCCGTGACGCAGTTTGAGGGAGGGAAGAAGTTTCAAGGATACTTCGACTACCATTCAAACGAATATCTCAACGTTCTCCCTGACACGTGTAAGTTCGAGTTACAATCATAAACACACTGCTTGAAGAACTACACGACAACAACCACAACTACTGCTGCTGCTACTACAGCTGCTGCAACACAACTGCTGTTGCTACTATCACTACTACTGCTACTACTGCTACTACTACTACTACTACTGCTGATGCTGCTGCTGTTGCTACGTACTACTTCTACTACTACTATTACTACTACTACTGTTGCTATTGCGACCGCTGCTACTACTACTACTACTGCTGATTCTGCTGCTGTTGCTACTACTACTACTACTACTACTGTTGCTATTACGACTACTACTACTACTACAACTACTACTACTGTTGCTATTACGAAGACGACGACATCTACTACTACTACTCCTTCTACTTGTCCGTGAAGATCCGGGCTAGAATAGGTCTTCAGCAAGACACGCTAGTCGTAAAAAGGCGATTACGGAGATGGGTGGTCAGGGTCGCTGACTTGCTTGTATCCCAATTGCGTGGATCTATACTTTTGATATCAATCACTGGATTGTCTGGTCCATTCTTGATTACTGACAGACCGCCGTCATATAGCTGGAATATTGCTGAGTGCGGCCTACAAAAACAAACGCCATCAACAACAACTACTACTACTACTACTACTACTACTACTGTTGTTTTTACTCGTGTTGCTATTACTACTACTGTTGCTATTACTAGTGTTGCTATTGCTACTACTACTACTTCTACTACTACTACTATTACTACTACTACTGCTACTACTACTACTATTACAACTAGTACTGTCCATATTTCTTCCACTTCTTCCGATCAATGTCTTCTACGATATAACTGATATAGGAACGTTTCCACAGATTATTATAAAATGTAAAGTAGATAAGAATAAAATCCAGTTCTATTATAGTATTAAAATGATAACATTATAATACCAACAACACTACAATGATAATATTTCCGTTTCTTGACACTTGTAGCGAAGTGCACCGTCCAAGACTTGGGGGACTCGTCCTCTAAGTTCCTCTTCGGATATTCGCCAGGAGTCCCAGGTCAAGGTCATATTTTCTCTGCATCCGGGGCCTTGCACTTCACATCCAATGGTTCCAAGGAGGTGTACGTCGGGAAGTCTGTCATCCGGGGCATTGCAGTAGACACGTGGTACAGCTGTCAATACTGGCCGCAAATGGATGCAACCATGAACGTCACGTGGTATTTTACAGGTTTAGTTCCGTTTATTGTTTTCAAGGCCATATGATCCATATTACATACATGAATATTATACAATTATATTACATAGCACACGCATAATGGAATTGGATTACACTTCCTTTCTAATGTTAAATACAATGTACATAAACTTTGACAGATGAAATATATTTTCAAGTTTTTACAACTAATTATAGACATCATACCGCGGGCTTGGCTGTTAAAACTTTACATTGGGAACGTGCATTTGAATACAGAGGAAAGACAACCAAAATATGATTACCATCTTCGCAATAGATATTCACAGTGCGAGCAGAGAGAGTCTCGTCACCTACAATACCTTTTACCTTTACGTTCGTTTTGAACACCAAATATCCACTTCTAAATTTTAACCAGGCCTTCCTGTAATTAAGTACAGTATACTACGGTTATAGCGAACTCAAAGGGGCCACTTATTTTAGTTCGTTATAACCGTAGTTCGTTATAAGCATATGTATAGCATATATACAGCAGTGGCCGGGACAAAAAAATAAATTCGTCATATCCGTCAGTTCGTTATAAGCGTGTTCGTTATAAACGTAGTTTTCTGGACATTAATAACTTGTATATACGATTCAAAGAGAAGTTTTGATTACATGGTTGAGTGCTCGCTTATCTATGAGAAGTGAATGCAAGTTTTGTTTGCCACAATCAAGAATTTGTTTTTCAGAACAAAGGTAATTGCTTCTTAATGACCAAGCCGAAGCCGTAAAAACAGCAAATTTCTAATATGAGATGCCCAATATAAGAATTTTCTATCACAGGTATCGTATGGCAGTCCATCACACTGTTGCGGGTGTCTATATGCGGGCTCAGATAAAATACGTAACCAATATTTAATTCATGTGACATACTATTTTGTATATAGTGGATAATTGCTACACCCACTATATGCAACAGCATTTGGCAAGCAAAATAACATACATGTATATATTGACAATATATTGACAAGAACCTTTCCACCTCTAGACTATACTCTGTTTCCATCTTCTCGTCCATCTTTTGGTTAAGCAGATTATCAAAGTGTTCCTGCCAAACATGAACTGGTATATTGTTACTTGCGACTTTTTAAAATATTTATTAACTTATTTCTAAAAGTTCCTACAGTCGTGTGTATCAGCTGCTTGGGTGAATTTTGTTACTTAAGTTTAATTTAAAGTCTATAAAATATTTTTACGACATATAATTTTAAACCTAATTCTGGCTTGTTTATACATAGGAAAGTTTTCTCTATATTTGGACAAAGACGGAACACGTTTAGAAGTTTCTATTTAATACTTCTTAATCAACGCAATCGTGATCATCCCACCTACGCTGTAATTGACCAGGGTATACCCGGTTTGAGTTATCGCGTCTTTTCATCAATGATCCAGCGGATTTAAAAATATCGACAAGACTACCGACAACAGTGTCTATATTTTCGTAAACTGTTTCCATAAACCGGTCAAACTGCTCCAGAATAATCAGATTCAAACTGTTCAACGGATGCTTGTTTAAATGTAATATTCCATTTAGACTTCTCTCTGTGCAGATAAGACGTTCACAACATGACTGGTATCTCTGACACCTTCACTTAATAAGAGGGAGATGATCTGAATCTGTGCGTGTTTTTACTGTGACGTCAGTCATATAGGGAAATATATCTGATGAATACATGTCTGGGGTGCTGTAACCATTGCCCCTATGACAGTAAAATCCCCAGAAGCGTCTTACAATCTTCCATTGACAAGAACAAGATCAAACAATTTACATATTTCGACGAATTGTGTTCATTATTGTAAAAAATCGTGTCCCTTGTTCGTACAGATCGGATAAATTCAACTGGGCAGTAAATGTCTTCATCAGTCGGTAGAATGTTAACTGAGTCATCCTCAATAACGTCATTCAAGTTACCCGTTCTAGCATCCATGTAACCACACAGTATCCGGGCGTTCTTTAACAATAGCTATTCGTCCCTATACCTTCCCTATCATAGCGATGCTCGGTCGTTTCTGGTGGTACAGTGAGTGAGTGAGTGAGTGAGTGGTATGGTTTCACGCTGTGTTTAGCAACATTTCAGCAATATCACGGCGGGGGACACCACAAATGGGCTTCACGCATTGTACCCATGTCGGGAATCGAACCCAGGTCTTCGGCGTGACGAGCGAGCGCTTAAACCACGAGGCTACCCGATCGCCCAATAATGGAACACAGAGCAGAGCAGTATCAAACGTTTTCTTTCCAACAAAGCAGAATGTGTTATGAGACAAATAGTGGCTGTCCAGTCTGAATGAACCCGTGGTCACTTACACAGGTCACTCTTAATATATACTGCCAAGCCTCCACTCTAGCGGCCATATTTTTAATCTTTTTGCAAATGGAATCGAAACATGAATATTTGCCACAGAACACAAACACTACCTTCCAGCTAAGGATGGATCACCCGTTTCAAAGTTTCAGGTTAGCTACATGCATATCAATGTTAAATAACCTGAAAAAACAAGTCGTTATACTGGCCGCAACAATGCGGTTTCTTAACCTAAACACATCAGGTCGCACCCACAGCTCTGTATGTGATATGACGCGTCTTTTCTTCCGTTTCAGACAAATCCAACTGGGAGTCATCTTTGGGAGTGGTGTCAGTTCCGGTATCTGCTCGCGTCACTGGAATCGTCTACAGTGGCACCAGCTCCCATACCTTTGATCACGAGTACAATTTCTACGGTTTTGCGAACGGCGCAACCCAAACAGATTTTGTAAGACTTCATATTGCCGTTTTATATAGCATTTTTTAGACACAACTGTATAGTGCAAAGAGGGCTCCAATTTCTACAAGCCAGCTCAGCGCTGTGACCTATACACGAGATACAACGATGTAAACCCTCTTTTGTGAGGGTACCCCATATCTACAGATGTAGACGTCGCATGTCGTAGATAACCAGAAAGTAGATCTAGCTCACTCTAAGCGATCGAACCCGGACCTTCTTTCATTATTATCCAACGAACGGGCCACTGTTACACGTGAATGTATCTGTTACACGTGAATGTATCTGTTACACGTGAATGTTTCTGTTACACGTGAATGTTTCTGTTACACGTGAATGTTTCTGTTACACGTGAGTGTTTCTGTTACACGTGAGTGTTTCTGTTACACGTGGGTGTTTCTGTTACACGTGAATGTATCTGTTACACGTGAATGTTTCTGTTACACGTGAATGTTTCTGTTACACGTGAATGTATCTGTTACACGTGAATGTATCTGTTACACGTGAATGTTTCTGTTACACGTGAATGTATCTGTTACACGTGAGTGTTCCGTTACACGTGAATGTTTCTGTTACACGTGAGTATTTCTGTTACACGTGAGTGTTCCGTTACACGTGAATGTTTCTGTTACACGTGAGTGTTCTGTTACACGTGAATGTATCTGTTACACGTGAGTGTTTCTGTTACACGTGAATGTTTCTGTTACACGTGAATGTATCTGTTACACGTGAATGTTTCTGTTACACGTGAATGTTTCTGTTACACGTGAGTGTTTCTGTTACACGTGAGTGTTCCGTTACACGTGAATGTTTCTGTTACACGTGAGTGTTTCTGTTACACGTGAGTGTTCCGTTACACGTGAATGTTTCTGTTACACGTGAGTGTTCTGTTACACGTGAATGTATCTGTTACACGTGAGTGTTTCTGTTACACGTGAATGTTTCTGTTACACGTGAATGTATCTGTTACACGTGAATGTTTCTGTTACACGTGAATGTTTCTGTTACACGTGAATGTATCTGTTACACGTGAATGTATCTGTTACACGTGAATGTATCTGTTACACGTGAATGTTTCTGTTACACGTGAATGTATCTGTTACACGTGAATGTTTCTGTTACACGTGAGTGTTCTGGCTTCAGGAGATACCGGACGGCATCGTGTGCCCCAAACGCAAGAACATGAAGACGCTGCCCCCTCTGAGCTCTAGTTTCACGCTGATGGGAGAGATTGTCAGTCTGGAGGTCACTTACTTGGAGGTAAGTCGGGGTCACCCCAAACAAACCTCCATGAAAGCAAGCTTTACTCAGAACCTAGAGTAATAACGTTGTGTGCAGCACGTTGTATGCAGCGCGTTATAACGTTGTGTTCAGTGCGCTATAACCTTGATTGCAACATGTTATAACGTTGTGTGCAGGGTGTTATAACGTTGTGTACAACATGTTATAATGTGTGCAGCACGTTATGTGCAGCGTGTTAACGTTGTGTACAACATGTAATAATATGGGCAGCACGTTGTGTACAGCGTGTTATAACGTTGTGTACAGTATGTTAGAACGTTGTGTGAAACATGTAACGATGTGTGCAGCATGTTATTACGCTGTGTGCAACATGTTACGTTGCGTGCAGCGTGTTATAACGTTGTGTACAACATGTTATAATGTGTGCAGCACGTGTGCAGCGTGTTATAACGTTGTGTACAACATGTAATAATGTATGCACCGTTTTAACGTTGTGTGCAGCATGTTATAACGTTGTGTACAAATATTATGTGTGCAGCGTGTTATAACAGTGTGTGCAGCGTGTTATATGGTTGTGTGCAACATGTTATAATGTGTGCAGTACGTTGTGTGCAGCGTGTTATAACGTTGTGTACAGTATGTTAGAACGTTGTGTGAAACATGTAAGGATGTGTGCAGCGTGTTATAACGTTGTGTACAGCATGTTATAACGCTGTGTGAAACATGTAAGGTTGCGTGCAGCGTGTTATAAGGTTGTGTACAACATGTTATAATGTGTGCAGCGTGTTATAACGTTGTGTGCAACATGTTACGTTGTGTGCAGCGTGTTATAATGTTGATTGCAGGAGAGGTATGACGTCAACCAACAGATTGCGGCCTACAGGTACAAGCCCTCTGCGGAACTCAACACCGACTACGGCTCTAACAGAATGGTGGAAATTAATGATTTCAACACAGGTAATGTTAGTTAGGTACATTTCAGTATTGCTTTCTCCACTTGACGCCACGGGTAGAGTGTGAGTCCATTCAAGCAGTGGCCCAGTTAGAATCCATTTCTCTGCTCGTTGGTTTCGCCAAAAAAGTAAACCTCAACGACCAACGTCCCGTTGTGTAACCACCGTGATATAACCTGTATACAGTTGGCGTTTAACACGACCCCCTCACTCACTCATTGTACTTGACGACGGGTGCATGACCATAGTTTATCATATAATTAATAGTGTCATCGATGCAATAAACTTGGTAGCACGATCCGATATGTAGGTACGAAAAGTCGCCAGGGAGGAACTACATATAAGCTCCGCACATCGATGTTTGGTCTGCTTGCTCAACAAACCATTCACTAACGTTTCCAATGTCCTTAGATGTGTCACCGTATTTCTGTAGATTATAACAGTTGGAAGTCATTGTGCATTATATGATAAAGTGGGCGGGTAAGCGAAACATTAAGTGAAATTACGTCTTCAATTACACACGACTCGCATAATACAATTATTATTTTCTAAGATATGATATTTACGATACGGAAACACACTCGGACAGTACTCTCTATATATCGTACACGTGCACGGATCTTGCCAGCGGTAGCGTAGTGGATAACGCGCATGCTCACCACGCCGGAGTCCTGGGTTCGATTACAAATTCGGTAACAGACGACTACCGGGTGGTGAGGCTCGCTGAATTGATGCATATCATTGTATCTCAATTGCGTACGATGCTCATGATGTCAATCACTGGATTATCTGATTTGGACTCGATTATTTACAGACCGCCGTCATATAGCTGGAATATTACTGTACGGGGTAACACTGTTGTTATGTTTGAGCGTTAACTCGTCTCGCCGGGTTTCATTCCCAACGTGGGTACACTGTTTGAATTCGTTCTTATTGTCACACTGCGTGATGGTAATATATTTAAATCCCCCAAAATCTCACTCACACCATTAAAGCATTTTTGTGTATTATTCAACATCCAGACGCCGTATCCATTGACATGACTTGTGTCTGGCAGGTGTGGCCTACATCATGGATGAGTTGCTAGGCAACTGTACCGTTACCCAGATTGACCACGGTAACTTCCTGTACCGACATGTGACCGGCTCCTCCCGCAAGGTCCGAATGCTGACCCCCCAGGAGTTCTTCCTGCTAGACAACATGATAGACCGCTACACATACATCGGGCAGGTGCGTGTGGGATTTCATACAATTCAGAAGCTATAGTTCATGTAAAGGACACTGGGGTAGGAGTGGTCTTAGGCGTCACAATTCGCTGTGCAGAGTTGCGTCCCCTAGTAGTGCAGGATCCGCCGGTCGTTGGCTTGAATCCCAGATTCGCCTGTGTTATGAAACGAAGTCATACGTAAGAGAATAAAACCTTTGCCTCGATAAGACTGTACAGCACTCGTTGGGATTCCGGAGCAGAATATACGTGCCCAGGGACCCATGTTGGTCTACAGACTGAATGTGCATAGTGTGGGTACAGTGTGTGACTGGTCCGGGGTAGAATAGGTCTTCACCAACCCATGCTTGCTGTAAAAGGTGACTAACGGGATCAGGTGGTCAGGCTCACTGACATGGTTTATGCATGTCATCGTATCCCAACAACTTGGGTCGATGCTCATGTTATGAATCACAGGATTGTCTGGTCCAGACTCAATTATTTACAGACTGCCGTGATATAGCTTTAATATTTCTGAGTGCGGCGTTAAACAACAAACAAATGATAGCGTGTCCTGGACCTGGACCGCTGCTCATGCCGCCCACCACTGGCTTGACTTGCCCAGTTCATGTGCAGGCCGCTGCCTTATAGCTGTAATAGTGCTGACTACGGAGAAAATGGCCACTCGGTGAAAATTATTAGTATTTTAAAAGTCCAATCATGAATGCTATTCGTGAATTTAACTTCAAGATTGGGAATTATTTAGGGAATATATTGTCCCCGAATATGATTGAAAAATTAGGCTTCAGTCAGAAAACAGGGAATTGCCTGCCACACAAAATTCATTGTTGCAAGGGACTTTTCCCTTAAAAGATTCAAGCTCATAGTTTTAAATTGAAAAAGATATCTGGTTTTTGTAACCCAACTCACGTGCATTATTCCAGAGAAACATCCGGGGCTTGATGTGCGATACTTGGACGGGATTTCACGAGTCGGCGGGTTTCGGCGGCAGCGTCGATGGCAATATTACTATTGAATGGTACTTCCTTTCTGTAAGTAAGACAGGGCTAAGGCGTCAGTAAGAGGTGAGGTTTTAACAGACACCTGAAACGTTTGGACGTCGCTATAGACGAGGCATGACATGCACCGCTAGTCCTGGATTCGTCCAGATTAAGACTCTTTGTCAATAGTAGTCTGTCAAACAGACCCTGAAACAAATATATCCAATAAAGCCCATGCAAGTTTATAATAATGGGCATGTCTAGATTACTGCAGTATCAAAATGAAGAGCTTCTCTGGGCTCCCTTTTATTATTTTTTATTAAGATAATTTAACGACTGTTTTTTTCTGAAAGATGTGTTCTTTTCAGAGGCTATATGTTAGTCTAGGTCAGCAGCTGCACCAAACCGATCTCGGTTCACTCAAGTGGTCCATGACTTTGGGATTGCCCCTCACAGACAGCAGGCTGATATAACTGAAGTAGTGCTCAAAGACGACTCAACCACTCCCTCACCAGTAGTGTAATTGTACACTCCATCCGATAAATTGCTACTTTGGGAGTTATGAATGTATCTTAATGTCTGACTCACGAACCACACTTGTTAGTCTCAAAGACGTATGAGCTCTGTCTACTGTACACTTGTCATCAACTAGTGACGGCACACCATGACGTAGTTCGAGTCCCAGCTTCCGGTTTGCTTGACCCAGGCCTAAGCTAATATCGGGACATACTATTTCTGATGCCCATGGAAAAAACTAATTCTTTGATTCGTTGATTCTTTATTTGAATAAACTGAATTTCTGTTCTGCACGACGAAAACGAGTTTTATTCGTCTTCACCAGAAAAACTTGACGACGTGGAATGACGTAGCTGCGGTGTTTCCTGGAGACGGTATCCCAGTCGCAATGCAAGCCTGGGCCCCCGACACTAAAGGAAAGGTGACACGTTTCGTTTCATGCCTAAATATTAGCGTAAACTGGATCAAAAGGTTATATGTATAATACAATTCACATATTCTTATAAATGTAAATATGGAAATTATTGGTGGGATAAAGCTTATGTCTGAAAACAGTTAAAATCTGTTTGTGTAATAGTGGCCAGTTTTGGGGGAGTTATTTTGTACGCATATTAGATTTTGGCTTACAGATTGGGGTTACCTGTATCGTATTGTATTCGTATAACGCGGACGATTAAGGTACATTTAGAAATATTTTTGTAGAATGTTCCCATCTACAACTTCAACGTGTTCGACTTCGACCGATCTGTGCCCAACGTCCTCACCTACGACATCAGCCCGTGCTACGTCAGCGACAACAGACGGATGTTCCACTTCTCCGTTGACGGTGAGTATTGTGTGGCTCTAGACGAACAGCAGCAACGGTATATCGAGGGGGCGTGGGCGAGCATGTGGTCACGTAGCAGGAGTAGCACAGTGGGTAGTGTGTTTGGCAATGACGTCGAAGTCCGTGTTCAATACCCGACATAGAGCAGCTGTCTTGGATTTCTTTTAATCCGAAAAAGCAAGAGTCCAGATTCAAATATATAACATTTTGTGATCTAAGTCCCATAATGCTAAAACGTATGCTTGGTGATGACCATAAGCACTTTAAAACATTTCTTTAAAATAATTGTATTTCAGTTTTTCACCAGAATCTTTCCCCTCTGCTGAGGAATAAAATCCAGATATGTTTCAGACATGGACTTTCCTCGGCTTTTAATAATTTATTTTGTAAAATACAAATTATATATTTTCCACAGTCAAGGTCGCGGGACTAAGCAACCCTAATGCTTTTGAGGGGCGGTCGGGTAGCCTAGTGGTTAAAGCGTTCGCTCGTCACGCCGAAGACCCGGGTTCGATTCCCGACATGGGTACAATGTGTGAAGCCCATTTCTGGTATCCCCCGCCGTGATATTGCTGGAATATTGCTCAAAGCGGCGTAAAACCATACTCAGTCAGTCAGCTAATGCTTTTGAATATACAAGTACCCAGAATATTTTGTTCTGCCGTGATATTGCGGTAATATTGCCAAAAGCGGCGTAAAAGGCAACTCATTCACTCACTCTACCGACAGGTCAGTTCGAGCAGTTCATCTCCGACAACATGGAACTCTTCAAGTACTCCACCATGTCAACCATCGTCAGCATGTGCGACATCTCCTCCCTCAGAATCGCCAACTTGAAGGTGAACTTTAGACCTTGACCTTGAACTTGACCACCGGCGTCGGGTATTATGGCATTATAATGGCTTAGTTATGTTGAATACCATTCTAAAACTAGACTTTTATTACGGACAGAAATACTTCGCATGCATCAATAGGATTGTTTTCATTTAAACGTGACGTAAATAACTTCAGTCATGAAAGTGACTCTGTCCCACGTCAACAGTTTTATAGGAACAGCTCTTATACATATAACGAAATCACAGATAAATCCATTCAAAGTAACGCAGATCTTAAACGTCGGCCACTTATCAAAACCAGGAGCACGATGTGGTGCTGACAGACCGAAGGCCATAAGCTGGACAAACTTGGGATTCGAACCGAGGTTCAGCCGATCCAAAGATTGGTCACACATCAGTAGCCTGCTCCGTGAAACAAAAACGTACGCAAGATTCGAATTTCAGGTTGACCTTGACGATGATGTGCACGTAACCTTTGAGATGTTGGACGTCGCCCCTGTTGTCGGTGACAATACAAACGTCGTTCCGCAGGTATCTCTGACTGACGCAGCCAACATCTTCATCAACTCTGTGCAAGGGGGTAGTTTTACCATCGTTTGGAACGACTTTCTCGTCGGCTCAGGGCAGGTGAGTTTAGGTCAAGGTCAAACAAGCATGTTGAGTCGAAAATATAAAACGTCCACTCCCGAGAATAACCAGTCTCGCTTATCTGACGAAGCAGATTCCATTAGGCTTGAAAGGCAAAACAAGCCGTGAAAATAATATGAATGGATCACTGAAAAAGATTGATGACACGAAGTGTTCGCGAAAAGGGTAAGCAAGGAAGGGACATACCACTTGATATTCTGGGGGAGGCCTGGTGTGTTCTCGAAAAAAATAAAGTAGACACAATTTATGGATAACTGGTCTTGCTTGACACCGGTATAATAATCTATACAGAAACGTCGCCTTTACAGTATTGAAGAAGTTGTTATCCATAAATTGTGTCTACTTTGTCATCCGTCAACTTCTAACTAAAGCTATCAAACATTCGAAAATAATATTTTTTCCTTTTACCCCATATGGAATATCTTTGGGCAGCTATGCAAGACTGGCGTTGACGTTCGTTATCCTAGTACTAGTACAAGCAGCCACACACACACACACACACACACACACACACACACACACACACAAACACACGTGTATATAAATGCAATTATCTTGAGCACGACGTAAACCCAATTTCACCTCAAGTATGTTAAACTGCGGCATGGTATATCAGTGGTCTAGCACTATAAAAAACCGGCATAAGTCTGGACTAGTACAAGCAGCCATGCTCGCACACACACGTGCATGCACGCCGCTATTTTAGAGCAATAACATTGAACACGGCGTAAACCTAATTTCACCTCACTCACTCACTCACTCACTTACTGACCTGTTGGCCGCAGGCTCCAAGCATCACTGTCATATCGAGCAGCCTCACGGAAATGGACTACGAGAAACACCAGTTCGGGAAACCAGGAATCATTGGCTTTGGACCAGGTAGGATCCTCAAACACAATTATACATTCTGTACATGGACAAGTCTTACATGTAAGTCATCCCTGAAATATTTGGAAGATGCACATACTTTCGGGATGAAGACGACATTTAAAAAAATACAGTCGTATTAAATCCATTCATTATCACCTCGTGTCATTCCGTGACAAGCTTGTGTATGTTACGGAAAGGTGCGAGTGGTGACTGGTAACTTCAAGCATGATGAAGCTTCAGTCACGAAAGAAAGTTATTTACAACATAGGGGAGGCAACTCTTATAATACTCTCAACATACCCCACAGTAAAATGTCTGCATTACATGGATGCACGGCCATGTTTGCAATGCAAACATCAGACGCGGGCTTATCCCCGATGTACAGTATCGAGTGTAGTGGTGGTGTCAACGACACCGTCTTTAGCTACGTCACAGTGGTGGTGGCAACGACATCGTCTTCAGCCATGTAATAGTGGTGTTGTAAACAACTAATGTTAGGCAAAAATAGTTCTGGGTGAACGCCAACATCGCATATAGGAGTCAACCTTGTTTCTGAAGCGTGTAAACTATATCCAGTCTGTATTCCTCCACGTTGCAGGAACGATGGCCGGCGTCGGGTTTGCCATGATCATTGTCGGAGGCACCATGGGAGCTGGCACTAGCTTCTTCTGCTATAAATAAACATCAGCCGGAAACAAGTCTATTAACTGGTTACCCTATTTCATTGTTTGTCGTTGAACGCCGCTCTCAACACCATACCAACAATACGACGGCGACCAGTAAATAATTAAGTCAGGACAGGGAGCCAGCATCGAGCATCGCTGACGGTTTTCGATGACACGCAGTCAAGCGAGCCTGACCTGCCGATCTATCAAGTCTCGTCTCCATCTCTATCGGGCTGAAATATTGCTAGTGCTTTGTAAAATGTTGAGTCACTCATGTTTTGTCGATGTGTATCGTTTAGTCCGTGGTGTACGATTATAGTCCTTGTTATTTTTAGCACCTTACCCTCTGTTTGACTTTCACCAAGTGGTAAACATCTAAGACCTGTGCCAGTATGGGCTTTCCTGACACGCCCTGATATAACTGAAATACTCCCCCACTAAGCTGACACGCCTTGATATAACTGAAATACTCACCCACTAAGCTGACACGCCTTGATATAACTGAAAGACTCCCTCATCATGCTGACACGCCTTGATATAACTGAAAGACTCCCTCATCATGCTGACACGCCTTGATAAAACTGAAATACTCCCTCATCAAGCTGAAACGCTGTGATATAACTGAAATACTCGTACATTAAGCTGACACGCCTTGATATAACTGAAATACTCCCACATCAGGCTGACACGCCTTTGATATAACTGAAATACTCCCACATCAAGCTGACACGCCTTGATATAACTGAAAGACTCCCTCATCATGCTGACACGCCTTGATATAACTGAAATACTCCTTCATCAAGCTGAAACGCTGTGATATAACTGAAATACTCGTACATCAAGCTGACACGCCTTGATATAACTGAAATACTCCCACATCAGGCTGACACGCCTTGATATAACTGAAATACTCCCACGTCAAGCTGACACGCCTTGATATAACTGAAATACTCCCTCATCAAGCTGAAACGCCTTGATATAACTGAAATACTCGTACATCAAGCTGACACGCCCTGATATAACTAAAAATACTCCCTCATCAAGCTGACCCGCCTTGATATAACTGAAATACTCGTACATCAAGCTGACACGCCTTGATATAACTGAAATACTCGTACATCAAGCTGACACGCCTTGATATAACTGAAAGACTCCCTCATCAAGCTGACACGCCTTGATATAACTAAAATACTCCTTCATCAAGCTGAAACGCTGTGATATAACTGAAATACTCCCACATCAAGCTGACACGCCTTGATATATCTGAAATACTCCCCCACTAAGCTGACACGCCTTGATATAACTGAAATACTCCCACATCAAGCTGACACGCCTTGATATAACTGAAATACTCCCTCATCATGCTGACACGCCTTGATATAACTGAAATACTCCCCCCACTAAGCTGACACGCCTTGATATAACTGAAATACTCACCCACTAAGCTGACACGCCTTGATATAACTGAAATACTCCCTCATCATGCTGACACGCCTTGATATAACTGAAATACTCCCACATCAAGCTGACACGCCTTGATATAACTGAAATACTCCCACATCAAGCTGACACGCCTTGATATAACTGAAATACTCCCTCATCATGCTGACACGCCTTGATATAACTGAAATACTCCCTCATCATGCTGACACGCCTTGATATAACTGAAATACTCCCACATCAAGCTGACACGCATTGATATAACTGAAATACTCCCTCATCATGCTGACACGCCTTGATATAACTGAAATACTCCCTCATCAAGCTGAAACGCCTTGATATAACTAAAATACTCGTACATCAAGCTGACACGCCCTGATATAACTGAAATATTCCCCCCACTAAGCTGACACGCCTTGATATAACTGAAATACTCACCCACTAAGCTGACACGCCTTGATATAACTGAAATACTCCCCCCACTAAGCTGACACGCCTTGATATAACTGAAATACTCACCCACTAAGCTGACACGCCTTGATATAACTGAAATACTCCCTCATGCTGACACGCCTTGATATAACTGAAATACTCCCACATCAAGCTGACACGCCTTGATATAACTGAAAAACTCCCTCATCATGCTGACACGCCTTGATATAACTGAAAGACTCCCTCATCATGCTGACACGCCTTGATAAAACTGAAATACTCCCTCATCAAGCTGAAACGCTGTGATATAACTGAAATACTCGTACATTAAGCTGACACGCCTTGATATAACTGAAATACTCCCACATCAGGCTGACACGCCTTGATATAACTGAAATACTCCCACATCAAGGTGACACACCATGATATAACTGAAATACTCCCACATTAAGCTGTTGTCTTGATATAACTGAAATACTCCCACATCAAGCTGACACACCATGATATAACTGAAATACTCCCACATTAAGCTGTTGTCTTGATATAACTGAAATACTCCCACATCAAGCTGACACACCATGATATAACTGAAATACTCCCACATTAAGCTGTTGTCTTGATATAACTGAAATACTCCCACATCAAGCTGACACACCATGATATAACTGAAATACTCCCACATTAAGCTGTTGTTTTGATATAACTGAAATACTGTTGAAGGTTTCCTCCTTGTAGGGTCAACAGTCCCCTACTGTAGAAATGAAGGCATCATAATTTGCATATTGCCTGCCATACAGTTCTTGGCGAAAAGGTGGAAACCTGGCGGTGCTAGATCTTGTCAATACCGAGGATGTTTACAGCCGCAATCTTGCACTGCAGCCATGGCGGCAAAGGTAGGAGCATCATCACCAAAAGTTGGCACCATATCCGCATGGATCGTTGTTAGAATTAGCTCTTTCAGGTGGAGATACTTGATGACAGCGCGGTAGCGAATTTTGTCCACTTTCATCAACGGAGAATACAGTCACTTTGATAACTGCAGAAATGTGCCGCCTCATTGTGTATGAAGTTCAGATGCAGTCTTCTGTTATCATGGACAGTATAGTACTTTCTATACATGCAAAACAGCTAAGGTTGCACTCTACACCCTTCGTAGGTACGCTCACCCCTCGTAGTAAGTCTCCTTGCGAAGTGATGCAGTAATGTTCTGTCAGGTGATGCCTTAAGTCTTTGCGTAAAGGGGGTTAGTGGGGTAGCCTAGTGGTTACAGCGCTAGCCCGTCACGCAGACGACTCGAGTTTGATTCCCCACATGGATACAATGTGTTAAGCCTATTTCTGGTGTTCCAAGCTGGAATATTGCTAAAAGCGGCGTAAAACCATACTCACTCACTAACTTTGCGTCAAGTAGGAAGTCTTAAAGTGAAGTGGTTCAGCAAGCCCTCGTGTTTATTTTGTACCATCCATTCTTCGCCGCACTCACAGTATACGGCCACGTGACGGCGGCCAGCACGTAATGGCACCTGGACCAGACAAACCACTGTTTTGGTAGTCACCGACCCACACCGTCTGCCCACGTCGCCACACTATCAACCATGTCAATATTTGTTCGCTTTTTCTTTTTTGTCAACAGTTACGGACATTTAAAGAAGACAGACAGCTAGGCATACACAAAATAGGTTTTATTGATCTTACTTCTACATTCAGAACATTTACAGAATATTCACTTTTAATCAAATTTGTAACATTTTGGCACTCATAATTTAATTTACCATTAAATTCGAGGATTCTCGCCGCTTTGTGACGTATTTCATAGTAACACGCCAGAACTCGTGTTGACTCGTGAATGAATATAAAATGTCTGAAACAGCGTCTCGTCTTCTCTACTTAGAGCCTTTTTATTTGGGTGGTGGGATCGAACCTTGGTCTAGTGAGACAGGACTACGCACTAACCTTTAGGCTACCCACCAAGCAGTGTAGGGGAGAAATACGTGATAGCGTCTGATTCCCCCTTAAATACACCTCCATTGAGAACAGTCAGTACTCATCCCGGTGCACACTTCATTGTGGGGCAGTGTGGCCTTGTAGTTCAAGTTTGGTTTGCTGACCACCCAGGTTCGATTCCCAGTGGTACACTGAGACCATTACGGGTGTCTCTCGCGGTGATATGGCGGGAATATTGCTAAAAGCACTCACTCACTTCATACGTGATTCGTGAGTGAGTTGGGTTAAACGCCGCTTTTAACAGTATTCCAGTTATATCATGGCGTGTCGGCTTAATGTGGGAGGAAAGCCCGAAGTGATGCAGGTCTCAGACGTTTACCACTTCGGTGAAACCCACGAGCACGGGTATGGTGCTGACAAACCTAGAAACATAATCGGGGCGAACCGGGATTCGAACCCACAATCACAGGTTTCTGGCGTGCCCCAGGGACGAAACTCTGAACAGCGAATGGCATGATTGCATGATTAGAAAACACATTCCGTCTGTCACTTTCATGACAGTCTGGTAAGCGACGCTCTGATTGGTTGGATGAAAGGTCGTTCTGACGTGACCCGTAATGGGATGGCCTCAGATCTTTGTTCAGCGATAACGAGAACTAAGATCTGATTTTAATGAGATTGGAACACGCCTGACCTCACGGACTAGACGTATTTCGGGCAGTACTGTAGTGTTTGTATTTTGGCATGACAACATTGTTTCAGCTAAACTAGGTACATGTTGATGGAAGCATTTGACAGCTGGACGACATAAACAATGATACAACTAAACAAGCACAGACCATACGAAGACACAAAGGTACGCTGTGTTCACAATAAACGGTCTTCAGGAACCAATGCTTGTCATAACATACGAGTAACGGGATCGGGGTGGTCAGTCTCGCTGATTGGTTAATGCAGTCATCGTGTCACAATCGCGTAGATCGTAGATTTCAATTACTTGCTTGTCTGGTCCAGACTATATTATTTATAGAGCACTGGCATATAGCTTGGATATTGCTGCGTGCAGTGCTAAACAACAAACAAACACAACTAAACACACAAAAACATTACCATCACCAAGGTCCATTTGATACCCAATACTAGAGTCACATCATCATATTTTACTAACTTTTCATTTTGTTTACACGTGTTCACAACACATGACATTAATTCACAATATTTCTTCTTCTTCGTCGTCATAGAACAGGACGATCCTCCTCTCTCTGGAAATGGACTGGAGATTACTAATCCAATAAAAGCCCACAGTATACTGACTCCGAGCCAACCAGTCTTTGTTTTCCCCCATTAGGCAGGCAGGGTAACAAGAAGTACCTTCTTTTAACGTCTTTTGGTTTACCGCGGCCAGGGATGGTGTCGCAGACACACAAGTATTCAGTATATGTAAGACCTGTCTTGCAACGGTGGTTGTTTATACAAGTTTGACCGAAATGCGTCCGGCTACCCATGCGAGGAGTCCTAGTGTGTGTATGTGTGCGCGTGTGTGCGTGCATGCATGCGTGCTTGTACTAGTCCGGACTTATGCCGGGTTTTATTGTGCTCGACCACTGTGACACCATGCCGCAGTTTAACGTGGGTGAGTTGATATGGGGTTTACGTCGTGTTCAAGGTCATTGCAATTATGTAGCGACGTGCATGCACGTGTGTGTGTGTGTGTGTGTGTATGTGTGTGTGTGTGTGTGTGCTTGCTTCTGTGTGTGTGAGTCCTTGCGGTGGACTGATCACAGGGATATGTCGGCAGTTGTGTGTAATACAAGTAACGTGTCTGCTGAAAACAAAGACGTGAAGTCTCACTCCCTGGTTCATAACAAGTAACTGTATCTAAGGGGTACCTTCGAGGTGTCAAACAATACCCTGGTTCATCACAAGTACCTGTATCTAAGGGGTACCCTCGAGGAGTCACACAATACCCTGGTTCATCACAAGTACCTGTATCTAAGGGGTACCTTCTCATCACAAGTACCTGTATCTAAGGGGTACCTTCGAGGTGCCACACAATACCCTGGTTCATCACAAGTACCTGTATCTAAGGGGTACCTTGGAGGTGTCACACATTACCTGGTTCATCACAAGTACCTGTATCTAAGGGGTACCTTGGAGGTGTCACACAATACCCTGGTTCATCACAAGTACCTGTATCTAAGGGGTACCTTGGAGGTGTCACACATTACCTGGTTCATCACAAGTACCTGTATCTAAGGGGTACCTTGGAGGTGTCACACAATACCCTGGTTCATCACAAGTACCTGTATCTAAGGGGTACCTTCTCATCACAAGTACCTGTATCTAAGGGATACCCTCGAGGTGTCACACAATACCCTGGTTCATCAGAAGTACCTGTATCTAAGGGGTACCTTCGAGGTGTCACACAATACCCTGGTTCATCACAAGTACCTGTATCTAAGGGGTACCTTCGGGGTGTCACACAATACCCTGGTTGACAACAGCAAGTACATCATGTATTGTGGCCTTAGTACGTCTGTGTAGTGTACGTCGGCAGGTCAATCGTTTGTGGACGCATAACATTGCATACGTTAATCTAGTGCCAATAGCAAGTTAGAATCTTGTCCTTTTGGGGGTCAAAATAAATAAAACCTCCATTGAAAATTAACGATTCTTAACTAAACAAATGAAGTGAATGTCATGTCACCATTATACCAAAAACATAAACGTTATTGATACAAAATGGCCATTCTTGTACAGGGATTAGTTCAATTTTTTCAAAGTTGGAAATTTATACCAATAATAATTATCATGGTAAGTAAACATCTAAACGCAGACTTGCAGCGTTCATCTAGTCGCCTACCAAGTCTGATAAAAAAGATGAATCATTTGTCAGGGTTATTCAGTGAACCATATTTATGTATATCAGGGGCGCAGCGAACAGATGTCTGACAACCTGTGTACAACAGTTGAGGTCTGTTTTCAGCTGCTGTTGTTACTGACGTGTTGGATTTGTCACGTGACATTATTATGATACGAAAGTCACACTAACAACTGACTAAACATGCCATCACATTGCTAGTAACCTTCGATGAATGAGATTACAGTTGATTATTAAAACGAGTTATAAACAAACCCAGATTCTATGTAAGTATGTGGCCAGTGACAAGATCAATAATGTCAATTTGACAAGATAAATAAGACCGAATAGTCTCTTGATAAATGCACGTTTGGTTTTCAATGAACATTAAAATAATTCTGGAATTCTGGCACCTTTCCCTCTGACCAGCGCTGTTTACCATTTTAAATGAGGGTTCAAAAGAGTTGTAAAAAATAAGTTCAAGCACTTACTGACTGAGCAGGAATGCGAATACTATTTTCAAAAACAACTAGTGTAAATTAAAAATTAAATTGAACCATACACCATTGTAAATAATGATAATTTCACATTGTTTCACTTGTAAAATATTTCGGAAATCCACATGGCAAATCAGGCACCCCCCCCCCCCCCCCCCCCCAATGTATAACAGAGACAATGCCCCCCTTATATCGATATAACGCGGGTCTATACTACTCAGCTTTTGTAGGGATATTCCTAGAGTATACACACCAGTCTGATTGCTATAACCTGTATAGGCGAATACAGCGAAATATCTCACGTATCCCAATCAAAAGCAGAGTAGTATACTATTTATATAACAATTGATGTTACATACAATTTTCCAATATCAATATTTGATGTCGGCTAACATTCCATCAGCGGCCCCATCCCTGTGACCCCCCTTCGTCTCCATCTCAACCGCCATTTTCTCCTCCTCTTCACTTTCCTCACGTGCCCAGGGTTGTAGTTCCCCAGATGCAAAGATGACATAAAAGATGGCGCCGAATCCGTACATAGCCGCTGCGATGTAGAAAACAACTTGCCACTCCGCCCGAGTCTGGCTCTGCAACAAGAAATGTTTAAGTCATGATGAGTGTAGTGAATTTTGTTCAACGCCGCAGTCGGAATATGACAGCTACGTCCCGATGACCTGTAAAGTATGGTTCAGATAAACAAGTGATCGAAAGCATGAGAAACGACGCACGCCATCGGGACACGTTGACACAGTGTCAGTCTGATTACCCGACCCTCGTTAGGAGACGTGCATGACATACTATATCTATGTTTCTCCCGAATTAATATGAGTTTTTATGAAACAAGGTCCATGTTTAAATATAACATCCTTGGCAGAAAGGATTCACCGATGCATCAGTACCCCGATACTGTTTGTTGTTTAACGCCGCACTCAGAAATATTCCAGCTATATGACGGCGGTCTGTAAATAATCGAGTCCGGACCACACAATCCAGTGACTGATATCATAAGCATCGATCCACACAATTTGGATACGATGACATGCATCCACCAAACCAGCGAGCCTGACCACCCGATCCCGTTAGTCGCCTCTTACGACAAGCATAGTCGCCTTTTACAGCAAGCATGGGTTGCTGAAGACCTATTCTATCCCGGATCTTCACGGGTCGCCCCTATACTGAACTCAAACATACAGTTCCCCGTCATGTCACAGCTGTCTCATCTTGATTCATGGCTGTATTCCCACCACCACAAACAACAGCAACAACACCACCACCACCAACCAATATCAACAACAGCAACAACAACACCACCACCAACCAACATCAACACCACCACCAACAACAGCAACAACACCACCACCAACCAACATCAACACCACCACCAACAACAGCAGCACCAACAACACCACCAGCAACCACGATCAACACCACCAACGTCAACAACACCACCACCAACAACAACAACACCACCACCAACCAACATAAACACCAACAACATCAACAGCAACAACAACACCAACAACCAACATCAACACCACCACCACCAACAGCAACAACACCACCACCAACAAACATCAAAAACACCACCACCACCAACAGCAGCAACAACCAACATCACCACCAACAGCAAAAACAACACCACCAACCAACATAAACAGCACCACCACCACCAACCAACATCACCACCACCACCGACAGCAACAACACCACCACCGACAGCAACAACAACACCACCAACAACAACAACACCATCACAAACCACCACCACCAGCAACAACACTAACACCACCACCAACAACACTACCACCACAAACACCAAGAACAACGTCATCTACCATGGTAGTATTACCACCACCACAACAAAAACATCAACAGCAACAACATCATCACCTACCTCTGATGTAATGACTCCGACTACCACGGGTGAGATGAACCCTGTGACGGCAGCTATAGAGTTGGAGATGCCGAACAGGATGCCGGCGTATGCGGGGGCGATGTCGACATGGTTGACGATGAAGCCGGAGAACTGGAAGCCGGTGAGGGACACACCCAGGACCAGCAGGGTGATTGCCAAGGCCGGCTGAGAGCAGTCCACATACCCTAGGCCCACCAACATCACCGCCGGAATCACTTTGCCTGCACAGAACAGGAGAGAGAGAGAGTTGAGTCAGTATTGCAGGCCTCGTAGCCATGTGTACAATTTTTGTCATATAACATGCGTACGATAGTGGCATGTGGGTGTATTACGTAATTTCTAAATATAAAAGTATATATCTATAAATAAAACTGTGTTTTTAAAACAGATTAACGCTTCTTTTTAACGGTAAACTGGCAAATTTATCTTCAGATAGAGAGCAAAACCTCTTATAACATTAACATTTTGGGGGGGACATCGGGGAGGCAGCTTATGTCTCGATGGGCAGTGATGAAAATATTGATGAAATAAACTATCTCTGCTTTTCTCGTAATACGTGCAAAATGATATTCATCTTCTAATCCTAATAAATCACAATTATCACAGAACATTAATTCAGGTTGTATAAACTGTTTGCTAAAGCGATGTTTTTGTACTTTTAAACCATGTGCTAAACATCGAAATTTCGCCAAAACTTTTACAAGATCCTTATTAAAGCATGAGGTTATATAGAGTTCAGTTTCAAATAGTAATTAATATGACGCATAATGGTTCAAAAACACAGAATTGTTCATCTGTTTGACTACAATGTTGTACAACAATGTCAATACATCTCCAAGTCCATAAAACAATATATATGTTCACAGTCCTGCGATATCCACTCATATCCAGCAATATTCCAGCCATATGACGGCGATCTGTAAATAATCGAGCTTGGACCAGACAATCCAGTGATTGACATCATGAACATCGATCCACTCAATTGGGATACGATGACATGCATCAACCAAGCCAGCGAGCCTGACCTCCCGATCCCGTTAGTGGAGAGCATAGCATATTATATATTAGTCGCAGTATGAATATCACACATTTTCCAACAAGATATATTTTCACTCCCAACAAATAAACTAAATTAAGTCGCTTGTAAATCTTAATAATTTTATTAACAAGTAAATATCATTTCGTACAAATACAAGGCTTTTCAAGCTTATTTGTGATGTTTGAACGAGTGAGTATGGTTTTACGCCGCTTTTAGCAATATTCCTGCAATATTACGGCGGGGGACACCAGAAATGGGCTTCACACATTGTACCAATGTCGGGAATCGAACCCGGGTATTCGGCGTGACGAGCAAACGCTTAAACCACAAGGCTACCCAAACCGTCCCTCAAGCCTGAATGAACCTTTAGCAAGTGCAAATTGGGTCAATACCGCTTTGAACAGAGTTTCAGTGAGGAGGTACGTTCCGCGCAACTTATGAGGGAAGGTTCAAAAGTTCAATGTAAGAAAAAAGAAAATTAATTCCCTTTGAAACATCCACATAGGATGTGTTAACACTTGTTGGAGTAACAATATGACGGATGAGGTGAGTACCGTCATTTGACATGCGACGGCCGTGGCGCTGGGGTCGTGTTAGTGAAAGAGATGATGTAATCACTCACCGAAAGAGTCGAAGATCTTCCTGGTGTTGGTGGTGGTGAAGATGCTCCGTCTCCTCACGAAGTCCGCCAACCACCCGGCCAGGTTAATTATTACCCAGAACACAATATACGGGAGGGCAGAGTACAGGCCGTTCTGAAACAAACACGTCCGAATAGTGATATCAATATTTACTGCGTGTGTGACAACACTTTGCACGTGTGTGTGTGTGTGCGTGTGTGTGTGCGTGCGTGTGCGTGTACGTGCGCCAGTCTAGTGAGACACGGGTTCGATTCCCCACCCCACATGGGTACAATATGTGAAGCCCATTTCTGGTGTTCCCCGTGGTGATTGTTGCAGATTAACCTTGACTGACTGACTGACTGACTGAGTATGGTTTTACGCTGCTTTTAGCAAAATTCCAGCAATATAACGGCGGGGGACACCAGAAACACATTGTACCCTTGTCGGGAATCGAACCCAGGTATTCGGCGTGACGCGCGAACGCTTTAACCACTAGGCTACCCGACCGCCCCTATTGCTGGAATAAAGTCTTGTAATGCTCAACTCAATCACTCAATATGACCCCGTTAGGTCGCTAGCAGCCATTATTTATGACAACACTTTGTAGAGTCCACTTCTTCTAATAGCCTAGTGGTTAAAGCGTTCGCTCGTCACGCCGAAGATCGTGGATCGATTCCCGACATGGGTACAGTGTGTGAAGCCCATTTCTAGAGTCCCCCACCGTGATATTGCTGCATATTCCTTAAAGCGGCGTGAAATCAAACTCACTCAGTGACACTCACTCACTCTTCTAAAACCAAAACATATGTCAGGCGCTGTGGGTAGCTGGATGCTGAAAGTGATCTTGGGATTGAATGTGGTTTTATGCCGCTTTTAGTAACATTCCAGCAGTATCACGGCAAGGGACACCAGAAATGGGCTTCACCTTTTGCATCCGTGTTGGGAATTAACTTTTAATTTGTAGATAGATCTATTCTTAAGTGCGATAATTATTTCTGGGACTTAGCGTAAGTCTAATATACAATGAATGACAATATTGCAGACATCCCTGTCGAGATATGACTTGATTATTGCTCAAATGTAAACAGAATACAAGTATACTGACTCCGTCACTCCCGACACCAGACAGCTGGTTCATAGTTACATTGCATGATTCAGAGCTGTTTCCCTGTGTACTGATTACACGGCGGAGCAAGGTTAACACATGCGTTATTAATGTGACGTGCACAAAACTCGATATTAACTCGGACTGCATGCACTGTGCACGGATGATGCAACCGACGGCAACAGGTTTTCAGTGACGTGGAGCATGGCCCGAAATTACACTCCAGGCTTTAAAGGAATATAGCATTCAATCAGTTTGATTGACAGGTATTGGGAGTATCACAGGTTGCAACTGTGGTGCTCAAGTGCTACACAATCACTTGCCCTGTCGAAAACACTCGCAAAACGAGGCGGGAAAAAGCGACCTTTCAGGCGGAATATATTAAATGACGCAACATGACCTGACTTCGAACTAAATATATGCTCAATCTGGTTGAGGCCTACACTAGTGTGGACATTAAGCCATCACATTGAAACGCTCAACGATGCGACAAAGTCTTACAATATTCACAGTGGTTGTCTCAAGGACGGTCGGTGTTAGCTAATACATGGGCAGATTTGTATATCAAATATCTGCTCTGAGACAAACAGGTGTGGTGAAGTAAAAAACAACAAATATGTCAAGGAATATCTAACTACATGTGTTGAGGATAAATCGCTGACGTAGATTAGACGAGATTCGTGGATATCTAATATATATATACTCCGTGTAGCTCATGTGAGTGAGTGAGGTTGGTTTAACGCCGCTTGGAACAGTATTTGGGTTTTATATTGGTGTGTCAGCTTAATGGAGGGCGGTAATCAGAGGTGACGCAGGTTGTTGGGTTTTATTACTTTGAAACCACCAGTGGGGTATGGTGCTGACAGACAGGTCGAATCTCTCTCCCCCCCCCCCCCCCCCCCCAGGCAACTAACGGGATCGGGTGGTCAGACTTGCTGACTTGGTTGATGCATGTCATCGTATTCCAATTGCGTAGATCGGTGTTCATTATGTCAATCACTGGATTGTCTGGTCCAGACTCGGATTATTTACAGACCGCCGTCATATAGCTGGAATATTGCTGAGTGCGGCGTTAAACAACAAACAAACAAACAAAGAAACAAAACGTCGCCTCTCGCGGCCAGCATGGGTGATTGGGTACCTATTCTGAGTCCCTGGGGCGGTGGGGTAACCTAGTGGTTAAAGCGCTCGCTCGTCACGCCGAAGACCCGGGTTCGATTCCCCACAAGGGTACAATGTGTGATGCCCATTTCTGGCGGTGTCCCCCGCCGTGATGTTACGGGAATATTGCTAAAAGCGGCGTAAAACCATACTCACTCACTGACCAACCTTCTTTGAAATATCGGTGGTACAGGCAGGATGAATGTTGGTTTGTCAGTTACTTCCGGTTAATTACACGGAATATTGCTAAAAGAGGCGTAAAACCATACTCACTCACTCATTGACCAACCTACTTTGAAATATCGGTGGTACGGGCAAGATGGATGTTGGTATGTCAGTTACTTCCGGTTAATTATACGAGCAATCTGTGTTATTACAATAAAGGTATTTACAAGCGTGACATTTACTGGGAACTGCTAGGTCGGCTGTATTGTACAATAAAGTTAACAAAATATAATTACAAACATCTGGTATGAGATGACAACGGCCACATCAATACAATAACGCTAGATTCTATTAGAAGCATAAAAGAATAATTGCATGTGCCATCTGTTCATTGGCAATAGCGATGCAATTAATGTTGTATAAATACATCAATATTGTTGGCGAAGTAGTAATATAAGTAATATACCGAAATAAATGTTTGTAAATATTATTGTGAATTACACTGAAGCTCACCTGTATAAACAATGTTTCCTAAACAACATTTCACATCGATGGTTAAACATCAAAATATACTCACCGTCAAAAGAAACGCGAATACCGTACATGTTGAATAATATATGAAGACTTACTCATGTCATAGATTCAAATTGCGTGAATCGATGCTCAAGATGTCAATCACTGGATTGTCTGGTCCAGACTCGATTATTTACAGGCCGCCGGACCCGTGAAGATCCGGGGTAGAATAGGTCTTCAGCAACCCATGTTTGCCGCAAAAGGCGACTATGCTTGTCGAAAAAGGCGACTAGCGGGATTGGGTGGTCAGGCTCCCTGACTTGGTTGAAGCATGACAACGATCCCAATTGCGTGGATCGATGCTCATGATATCAATCACTGGATTGACTTGTCCAGACTCAATTATTTACTGACCGCTGTCATATAGCTGGAATATTGCTGAGTGCGGCGTTAAACAGCAACAAACAAACAAACTCATATTCAAGTGATATTAGACTGGTTCGATGCACAAACGAACACACTAGTATGTTGTGTGGTCCGACGCTCATGAACGCATCACATGTGACATCATAGCTCCATGACTTGTGATGCACCATTTGTCTCGTGCAGGATCAGCATGTAAAATTTGGAAATCACGTGCAGCATATTGTGATAAGAATAAAGACACTCTGTGGTACTTTTGACTGATTGTAAGTTCTGTCATTAAGTGGTACACATTGGAAACGTCTCTTCTAAACGTACCTACTTCTCTATGTGTTTCTATGGTTCGCGTTTAATTGGCAGTGAGCATATGTTGAAGTTTAGAGTAGCGTTAAACATTCAGTGATCAGTTATGTATGAGGCCGCAGGAGGTGAGTACCAGTGATACCGAAAATCTACTTTCCACATCTTCCCGAGGCAAGGGAGTTAACTGACTTTAAAAGTCCAGTTTCCACCCTTGCCGAACTAGGCTGGAATTCCTGGGCTCGATCGTAGCGCCACTAGTGGCTGTTAAGAGTTAAATCCCTTCTATGCCTCTCCTATGGACCAATCAGATTCCACCTCTCGTATCACTTGCAAACAAAATGGCGGCGCCCAGTCAAGACGATATGATGGACAATCAAAATCTATATTGTGACAAAACGGGTCTTACATCGCGAACTGCATCAAATCTCGTGAGCACCTTGATTAAAAACTTGAAAAGATTTGTAAAATATCTGATGACAACGAGTTAGTGGTGCACATGCTGTGCAAATCCTGCAATCAACCGAAATCTGCATGCATCTGGTGTGTGTGTGTGGAGAAGCAGGTCCCTCTGACGTGACGCGTAATGGGTTATCCTCTTTAATTAGCGGTGGCGGGACTAAGATCTGGTTTAGTACTTTAGTATAGACTCGCCTAATGGTAGTTACGACCACCTCGTCTCATTCCGGGACAAGGTGCAAGTTACGGAAAGGGACGATGGTAGTGACGACCAACTCGTGTCATTCACGGACAGGGTGCAGGTTACGGAAAGGTACGAATGGTTTTGATGGCCAACGCTGTCATTCCCGGACACGGTGCAGGTTACGGAATGGGGCGAGTGGTGACCAATGGAAGTGACGAATGATATACACAATATAAATGAAATGATGTTATTCCCACTCACTGCAGCAATGTCAAACTTGAGGACCTCGTTCATGTAGGTGGGGATGTTTGTGAGGAGGGTGTAGGCTCCCCAGTCCGACGTGATGTTGCTCACGATGATGGCGTAGGATGGTAGTGACAGCGCTATGCTCTTCCACGGGACGTTCAACTTCTGAAACACAACGACTCAATGGTCAGATGCTGGTTCAACTAAGATGTGGACAGATCTTGTCTCAGCAACCGGTGACAGAGCCAGTGCGGCTACATGATACCATAAGTGTTAACAATATCACACACTGTACCATTTTGATGAGCAAGTTTTGAATATTAGAAGCGAATTCTTTCACAACTAAACTACCAATTGTAATGGGCGATATTTTAGTCCAAAAGGGCGATAACACCTTTTAATAAAATCCCCGGTGCTTGTTCACTACAGAGTTTGCGCTGCGACATCTTGAGTACATTATGACACATCATATTTTCTTATAACGCCGCATCCTCAATATTTCCAGGCGTCGCATGTTGGCAAACCTACACCAACGTACTTTTTATCATATTCCCGTGGCAAGCATGTCAATTAGCCTACATCAAAGCTGAGCTAGATAAATAGGCCAGTGGAGGCCCATGCCTCGAGGAGATGATTTATTGTAGGTTTACCGAAGTGTGAGCCCTGGAACCCGTTCCACAAAGCGATTTTAGCGGTACGACTACCGTAGGTCTATGTAAATGAGTGGGAGTTAGCGCTTAGCGCTAAGATCGCTTTGTGGAACAGCCCTTGATAAAGAGAGGATGGCAACACATTTGTGATAACTGCCCCAGCTTTCTGCTGTATGTATGAGTGGCGTTCTGTAAATAAATGGCAGTGTACCCATCATGAATATGATGTCAAACATCGAATACTACATGACACCTTTCTATGGAGAGCAACTTCTTCTTTTTTTACAATAAAAAAAATAAAAAATAAAAAAAATAAACAAACGTATTCATGATCTCCCATCTTCTAAATGCCTATCAAAGACTTCATTCAACATCGTACTTCCACTATCGGGGGGGGAGGGGGGACCTCACCTTGTGTGACCTGACGCTGTCCCGGAGGGTATGTTCAATGTAGCGCCTCTCGTTCCCCGATATCCGCTTATGCTGGGCGGGGGTGTCGCTCACAAAGAACATCCACAGAAAGAACCATACCAAAGACATCGCACCTACAGTGTCAATATTGATTGTGAATAATGATACAAAACATGCTACAAAAATGTCGTCAATGTAGGACACAATTATATCTTCGAAGAGCTAATGTTAAATGCCTGTATGTATAATCGGTTTGAGGAGACTCCCCTGTAGCCTTGGATGGTAACGAGGCTGAATGGGACTGTAGCACCAAGTGAGAGTGTCAGTCTTCTAATGAGTTGCGTCCCTTAGGCGTGAAAGGATCCTACATATCCCAGGTCTGCATCTGGCTTGGTTTATCTAACCCATTAGGCTGACAAGCAGTGATGTTTTGTTTTGTTTGTTGTTTAAAGCCGCTCTCAGCAATATTCCAACCATAGGACGGCGGTCTGTAAATAATCAAATCTGGACCAGACAATCTAGTGATTGACAACATGAGCATCGATCCACGAAAATAGGATACGACATGCATCAACCAAGTCAGCGCGCCTGACCACCCGATCACGTTATTCGCCTCTTACCACAAGCATAGTCGCCTTTTACGGCAAGCATGGGTTGCTGAAGACCTATTCTACCCTGGATCTTCACGGGTAAGCAGTGAAGTAACAGGAAAAGTGCTCAAAGCGGCGTAAAACACAACTCACTCAAGTACATATTATGTTATATATGACCCGACTGTGGCAGGTTTGCGCCTTGTCTGGACCAGACAAACCAGTAGCCATCAGTACGATCAACGTCCCACGCCATCACCAGGGCTCGGTACCAGACTATCAATCACAGACCATGACCGCCCGATTCTCATTTCAAGCGACTCCTCCAACTGCGTTTGGTATTGTGGACATGCTCTGATTCGAAATCTCAACAGGGGTATATCAACGATGACAAAGACTTCAAGATCCCGTTTTCACTGACGGTTGGATGTGTTATCAGCAAACAGCCTGGTTGTTCAACCCGTCCTACAGTTAAACCCACAATCTTCCCTACTGACAGTTGCACTAGTTTCATTATACCGCTCCTCTCCAATGTGTGACGACGGTCTTTATGCCAGCGCACTTACATGATTCAAATAAACCAAAAACACTGACCAGAATTAAACATGAATAATGAATCACATATTTATTAATTAATAATCAAACAGTGTCCGCCGGCCGAGTCCTGCCATAAATCGGAACCACCCATGATAACCATATTAACAATCCCCCACGGACAACAACCCTATCTTTGAGTGTTGCCCGACCCCCCTGAGCGCATATGGGTATTAACTATAACTGCCCGAGTAGATACAAGTCATAACACCCAAGGCACCATATGACACTCCAAGTGGAGTTATACGGAATCATATATAAGAATGTCACCAGTGGAAAAAAGTATATTGTAAAGTTAATTCCTTTGCACGTCACAACTCACCGAGAACGTAAAATATAGAAGGCCATCCCCCAGCAAAGCCATATTTACACAGGAATCCGGCGAGTGGGAATGTTACAACGTTGCCGACTTGCGCACCTGGAAAACGAGAGCTGACGGTGATATATTTATATATATGTAAGTTAGCAAGAACATTAATGAACAATAATGAACACCACTTCTAACGCATTCATTTACAGTGTATTGTAACAGGTGATGTTTTATGCCCTATCATACTTTGTTACAGAGTCTGTTTTAAGTTTGAAACATTCTACTTCTCTTCGAACCCCTGGCAACAGAGAACAAATGATAAGCATGTACACATAATATCAATTATTATAGGCCAAGATGACAGCATGTCGTGCATAACTATATTATATCTTCTGTTCTGTGTTTCCTTAAAGCTTTAATATTACATCGATAAATCTCGTTAGATACTTAAGATCTCCAGCGTTTGAAAAGCGTTTCTTTCACAATGACAGAATATATGAGCCAAACGAATGGAGAGGTATCAGAGTAATACTAAAAGAGTGACAAAATACTGACAAAAAGCAAATATCACAAAGCTGGTTATTCGATTGTTAAAAACAAGATATCTCCATCAGTGTGGCATCAACAAGTTACATTATGAAGCTACTAAAGATATTTATCAAATTATTATTTTCAAGAATTGGAACTGCTCGGTCTCTGAAGTAGCACATGACCTAATTACGTCACAATGGAATTCACCTTCTGGAGATATTTTCTTCAGATCTGGATTAACCATATCTCGAAAAAACCCAACAATTTATTGAGTAAACATTGTATAGAGTAACTGCTACACAGTCTACACTGAGGCCGTTAGTGAATTTACAGCAGAACCTGCGTGGAAGTTGGTGGTCGCCATGGCAACAGATCCATCCAATAGTGCACCCACTGCAATCTATGTACAATTACCGCAATAGTAACGTGCGGGGAGCTCCTCTACCGTACAGGTTCCAGTGGCCAGGGAGCATAGCTACAAAAAACCTTGTACGCGTTCCATACTGGTTTAGAAGATCATAAAGACGTCGGTCAAAGTAAAAACAACACGGCTTGTTATCTAATATTAATGGATGTATTTTGTAATTTCCTTCAGGAAAAGCAATAATTTTGTCTAACTCCTGGAATGATGGTTATATAAAGAGTTGCCAGGGAAGCGACACTGCGGAATATATCCCCCATAAGTGTATAAAGTGTCCACACGTTTCAGTAAAAGTGTCTGACTGAATGGTCGTGTATTTGCTCTGCAATAGAAGACTTTTATCCGTGTCTCCGTTTCCTAGATAATACCGGACATAGAAAGTTTAGATTCCGTTCTAAATATAGACATCGGTCACAGAGATGAATAATCGCCACTGGTGGCTTTTCTTTCATTGGGGGAGTTTTACGGACCTTTGCTACCTCGGCACTTCCCGTACGTCTATAACCACGTGGCCGTAAACTGCCGACTTCATCCTACGACAAGTCTGGGTGTGACTCGAATGTGGTGACCGGCTCAGCGCAAGACAATGCTGTCAAAATGCCTAGGAGGGTCAATAGGGTACGCAAATCTATTTGCTAAAGAGTCGAAAGATCGAAATGGAATTGATTGGCAAGACTGAGAAATGTCCGCATTTTCCTGTGCAACAGAGTGCCCCTGACAAATAAATGATAAACAGCTTCTTTAATAACACCTTCAAAATTACGAGTTTCTGTGAATTGTTTTATGATCCCAGTGACGTATCTTTTGAACCAATTCATCTGTCCTCCGATGTTATTTGTACTGTTTCATGCGGCAGAAACACGTGTTGGAAAACTTGGACAAGTTAAAGAGTTGTCTCCCTTCCCATTTGGCTCTAATTTGAACGTCTTGATTATCATTGAATTTTCTTTAATTGAATCTGGGATGAAAAACAATACAATTTGGCATATTTATGTTGGGTCGGTGGACCCCTCCTTCGATCAAGAGCTGGAGCGGCCATAAAATTTCCGAGTCCCGTGATGGGATTCGAACCACGGACCTTCTTATCAGAGGTCGGACGCCTTGTCCACATGACTAAAGAGGTTAACCGCGTCAGCAGGCTGACAAGGTAAGGATGTCATCTGTGGGATGATTCCACGCCCTGCTACATAGCGTTTGCTCACGTGACAAGAACGCTCACCTGCATATGTGAATGCTGTGAGCTTGCTTCTCTCGAGGGGAGGAGCCCAGTTGCCCCAAAACGTGTGCATCGCAGGGAACGCCGCGCCCTGCATGGAGAAACAGAGATTGATGAGTAAACAACTTCAAACATTTGCGAATGGCTGATAACTAGACCTTTTTTTAATATCAACCACGTACACGTTTTGGACTTATGCACGATCACGTTCATAAGAATGGCCATAATAAGTGAAAAATGCTGTTTTTCGAACTGCAATAGAGAATGTATCTATGAGCACATCTCTGGTCTATGATGTTTTTTTCACAATATGTTTGAACTGTCATTAACATCTCCTAAGAATTATTTCAATATCAGCTATGTTCAAAAAGTTTTAAAAAGCACCATGATTACCTCATATGTTATCCTATTCGACACATCTTCGCATTACCTCTACATTACGTGCTGTTGGTAAGTCCAAAACAGTGACATAGGATGCACTTGATTAACAGTCTATTATAGCTCAGTTGTGATCTACAAGTATGTAACACTGGATAGTGGATATAGATATATTTATGCATAATGTTTGTTTGTTTATTGTTTAACGCCGCAATGAGCAATATTCCAGCTTTATGACAGCGGTCTGTAAATAATCACGTCTGGACCAGTCAATCCAGTGATTGACATCATGAGCATCGATCCACGCAGTTGGGATACGATGACATGCATCAACCAAGTCAGCGAGCCTGACCACCCGATCCCGATAGTGCCTACTTACGACAAGCATAGTCGCCTTTTACATCAAGCATGGGTTGCTGAAGACCTATTCTACCCGGATCTTCACGGGTGCATTCAATGATGTAATGTAACACGTGTCGTCAGGAATACCGTTACAGTAACCGTTAAAAAGTTCATTCTTTGTCCCGACTCACCGAGGCCAAACCAAGGATGATCCTAAGCGCCATGACGGCTATGTAGTTGGTGGTGGCCACGATGGGGGTGAGAAAGGTCAGAAGGCTGCAGACAAGCATTGACCAGCCATACACACGCTTCCCCCCGTACTTTGTGGCCAGCCAGCCTGCAGGAACCTGGGAGACGAGGTAACCCCAGAAATAGGCTCCCAACACCAGCCCCTGGGTGGTCTTGTCCCATAACAGCTTGCCATCCTGAAATTCAGAACACACATAAAACACTAAAACACAGGATGGATTGTGGCTCACCCGACTTGTAGCAGAGTGAGTGAGTGAGTGAGTGAGTGAGTGAGTGAATCTTTACACCAATGACACTTTCAGTATAACTGTATGCATTATATTTATTTACAGGTTTCTGGCACGCCTAAGGGACGCAACCCTGCACAATTGATTGCAGCACCTAAGACGACTGTGTCACCTGTGACCGGCATGTATTTGGTAAGTGAGTGAGTGAGTGTGGTTTTATGGCACTTTTAGCAATATTCAAGCAATATCACGGCGGGGAACACCAGAAATGGGCTTCACACATTGTACACATGTCGGGAATCAAACCCGGGTCTTCGGTGTGAAGAGCGAACGCTTTAACCACTAGGCTACCCGATCGCCACTGTAGTAGTGAGAGGTTGAATTGGTTGTAACGCCGCTGTTCATGGGTTTAACGGATATATCACGGCGTGTCAGCAGGTCATAGGCGTTTACCACCTTGGTGAGAACCATGAGCAAGGGGATTGTAGTGACAAACATTAAGGATCATAATCAGGGCGAATCTGGATTCGAACCACGATCATACGCTCTAGGTAAACCATAGGGCTACACACAGCGACCTTAGACTACTGGGCTATCCGCGCCCTCTGTTGTGTGAGGCGAGGTGAAATAGGGTTAAACGTCGCGTCCAGGATTATTGCACTACATAGGGACGTGCATACACATATGTGTTTGTGTGGCTGCTTGTACTAGACCGGCTTAATGTCGATTTAATAGTGCTAGCCCACTGAGATACCATGCCGCGGTTTAACGTGAATACCCCACTCAGATACAGTATACTGACTCCGAGCCGACCAGTCCTTGTTTAAGCCTCTTAATGCCGAGCGCCAGGCAGGGTAACAACAAGTACCATCTGTTAACGTATTTTGGTATGATGCGGCCGGTGATCGAAACACCGACCTTTCGTTCTCCGGGCGGACGTTCTACCACAAGACCCTGTTATGGTGGTCGCAATAAAATTGGGTCCCGTCATAACAGTCCACACATAGTAAATGACAGTATTACCCGGAAACAGGTAAGTGCATTTATGTTGCATTCTCAGCTCCCTTGGAAGTGTCCAACCATATCTTAGCCACTATTCCGAAGCCGTAGTAATATTCTATTCAGTCTAGTAATACGAGCTAATACTAATCTACATAATTTTCGGGCTAGTAGATCGAATAGTTTTAGCATCAACTGTAAAACCGAAGCTATCTGCTACACCGTATTGTAATCGCATTGCTGTCTCATCGTTCAGGGTACCCATTTACAGCTATGTAAACCGGGGCAAATTCCCAACGAAGAAACTTCCCAAAGTTCTAATGAAGAATGAAGATTTCCGCGGTCCCTCAATAACCTACTGTCTGCAGTAACTTCCCCCGGTGTGTGTGTGACCTGTGCCTTATATGTCAACACACCCATGTGATAGTCCCACAAGGACCTTCTACGTTATGGGGAAAAGGCGTTAACTACTTGACTACCCACCCGCAGGGCCGTCGACTCCGTGACGTTAGGGTCTACCGCTGTGAAGGACGCGCACTCCGACACCAACGTGCTGTCACTGTCGTTGCTCTTTATGCTGGCCTTCACCCAAGTTTGGTTGACCATGCAGACCACGCCGACACTGAGGTTGACGCGGAGGGCATAGACGTTGATGAAGCCCAAGAATCCCAGTACAGCTAGGCCGACTCGCGACGACGTGAGGAACGGAACTGTAAAATAAAAAAATAATTAAATAAAATCATTTTATTAAAAACTATAGTCTGTTACCAACTAGTTACGGGAACACATGTACCACGGTGGTCTCGGGGTCCGCGTCTCCTTATTTCGGCCAGGGTTCCGCTGATCCATCCAAACTTCGTCCCAATTAAGATCCTTCGTCTGTGGTAAACATTTACTGCTTGGTTATTTGTCTGCGCACGATGACGGAGAATCTAGCTGCTGTTACACCCCCACCCCCTGTAGCAAGCATGGGGGATGTTACATCCCCATCCCCTGTAGCAAGCATGGGGCTGTTACACCCCCACCCCCTGTTACGGCAAGCATGGGGGCTGTTACATCCCCACCCCCTGTTACGGCAAGCATCGGGCTGTTACACCCCCACCCCCTGTTACGGCAAGCATGGGGGCTGTTACATCCCCACCCCCTGTTACGGCAAGCATGGGGCTGTTACACCCCCACCCCCTGTTACGGCAAGCATGGGGGCTGTTACATCCCCACCCCCTGTTACGGCAAGCATGGGGCTGTTACACCCCCACCCCCTGTTACGGCAAGCATGGGGGCTGTTACATCCCCACCCCCTGTTACGGCAAGCATGGGGCTGTTACACCCCCACCCCTGTTACGGCAAGCATGGGGGCTGTTACATCCCAACCCCCTGTTACGGCAAGCATGGGGCTGTTACACCCCCACCCCCTGTTACGGCAAGCATGGAGGCTGTTACATCCCCACCCCCTGTTACGGCAAGCATGGGGCTGTTACACCCCCACCCCCTGTTACGGCAAGCATGGGGGCTGTTACATCCCCACCCCCTGTTACGGCAAGCATGGGGCTGTTACACCCCCGCCCCCTGTTACGGCAAGCATGGGGGCTGTTACATCCCCACCCCCTGTTACGGCAAGCATGGGGCTGTTACACCCCCACCCCCTGTTACGGCAAGCATGGGGCTGTTACACCCCCACCCCCTGTTACGGCAAGCATGGGGCTGTTACACCCCCATCCCCTGTTACGGCAAGCATGGGGCTGTTACACCCCCACCCCCTGTTACGGCAAGCATGGGGGCTGTTACACCCCCACCCCCTGTTACGGCAAGCATGGGGGCTGTTACACCCCCACCCCCTGTTACGGCAAGCATGGGGCTGTTACACCCCCACCCCCTGTTACGGCAAGCATGGGGCCGTTACACCCCCATCCCCTGTTACGGCAAGCATGGGGCTGTTACACCCCCACCCCCTGTTACGGCAAGCATGGGGCCGTTACACCCCCATCCCCTGTTACGGCAAGCATGGGTTGGTGAAGTCCCATTCTAACCCGGACCTTCTCGGGTCGCCTCACTTGTCCATACCCTGGGGTGATCGGGGGACACTGGGGAGCAGCCTCCAAGTGACGTCACGGTCACATATAATTTGTTTCATTTTTTAATTCAATAATGAATAAAAGCAGTTTAATGAACACAATAATGTCGAGAGTAGTTCTGTATATATTATATACAGAACTACTCTCGACATTATTGATCATTTTTTATTAAATTAGCTGTTTTACTTTAGTATTTTTTCAATAATGATATTTTGTATTGACAAATGATTGACATCATGAACATCGATCTACGCAATTGGGATACGATGACATGCATCAAACAAGTCAGCGAGCCTGACCACCCGATCCCGTTAGTCGCCTCTTACGATAAGCATAGTCGCCTATTATGGCAAGCATGGGTTGCTGAAGACCTATTCTACCCCGGATCTTCACGGGTCGGCGAGGTTACGTAAAGCAAGTGTCGATAAAACGTTCTCCCGAACGCCTGTAGACCTAGCACAACCATCAGAGCTGTCCAGATGAAACCAGGACTAATGTGTGAACAGTTTACTGCCCCAGTCTTGTCTCCTGAACCGCTGGTGCTGTCTACACCAATGTAGGCGTAGCCGACGGTGACGTAGAACCAACGTGGTGGGTGTATCGCTGGACGTCAGGGTCAGATGATGTGCTCCCTCAACCGGTTGCGTACGGTTCTGCCACTAATTGGTCTCAACCCAGGAATTGTCCGAGCTATGAATGTGATAGTTTGGTATCAATTCTGTAGATGCACTTTCCGAATATGGTTGTCGTGTTGACGTGACGTCACACGTAAACGAGCGGCCGGAGCAAGTCACGAGTGTTGCCCTGCTGTAGGTAACGTCTCCATGAACAGTAAAATGTCTGGCAACTTCGTCTTATTTACAGTTTAACAAAAGTGTTTTATGAGCACCTGACAGCTACACAATCATTATGTGCTGTTCACACACACCGTGCACCGTGCAATAACATGCTCATGCAAACTGTGACTTACGACCTTAAAGTCGAAATGTCTTCACGAGTATGGATTAAAAGATGCATTATTTAATTTCAGAACAAATTATTTTATTGAACTTTATATGAAGCACAGTTACTTCTTCCGTGAGTATATCGCAAATCCATATTCTTTACGAATATATGTTAAAATATGCATGATTTAATTTAAGAATTATTTTCTTTTATTGAACTTTATATGAAGCACAGTTAGTATATATATACATATACTTAATCCATGTGGTCCTAATACCCCGCGTCTATTCCAGGGTGGTGCATATTTTTTTCATTCGATGTTCAGCGTCTTTAAGAGAACAGTTTTATGCCATGCAACAGGGTTGCAACATTCAAGGCCTCAGTAAATCGTTCAAACGTTTTCTGCAAAGTAGACATGTGAAGTGCATTTCCAAATTTGGCGCATCAGTGGCCAAAATGAGGTCCGATGCAAGTCCACTATATTTGACATATATATATTTCTGTATAATATTAACTTCACTCTTATCAAAAGAATCTGTATATTTTATTACAGGAATACATTTTATATTCAATTTAGTGTTCGATTGCCAGTGTTTAAGAAGAAAATAAGATTCGTGTGCCACTGTATAGTACAACAACGCGACACTTAAATAACTGATTTGAATTTGAATAGTTATGTAGACATCTTATGAACATTCAGCTTTGACAGGTTTGCCAAGTCAAGTGACAAAGTTGTTGTTTTTCCAGAGCACTACCTGCCTGTGAAAAGTAGGGACAAGGGGTTCTTTTGTTGCTTTTCAGGGGATCAAAGTGCCAGTTGGCAATTTGAAACAGTGTTATATTGTCCTGAGACGGCAGGTCCATTACCAAAGCTGGCGACATGAAACGATCTTTTGACACATCGTTCCGCTTCATGAACACTGACTAAACCTGGGATGCATGAACGGGCAACGTTCACCAACCACTACAAGCTATGAAACAGTTCAAAGGTTCGATGTAGGATAAGAATACGAATTCCTTAAAGTTTTTACACAAAACCCTCCCCTCTCACAAGAAATGGAACAACACAAACACACAAAAAAAGTTAATTGTAAAAACGTTTTTTTCACATGCTCAACGAAAGAAAAACACAGAAATCCCATATGGTAATCAGCGGTAGAAACTAATTTTTAGTCCACTAGTCCTTCTAATGGTGACATAATTGCAAAACTCTTTAAAATGACAATTTTCTACTCGTCCTTTTGATACCTTAACCGCCTCCGTGGTCTAGAGGTAGAACGTCCGCCCGGAGAGCGGAAGGTCCGGGGTTCGATCCCCGGCCGCGTCATACCAAAAGACGTTAAAAGATAGTACTTGTTGTTACCCTGTCTGGCGCTCGGCATTTAGGGGCTAAAACAAGGACTGGTCGGCTCGTAGTCAGTATACTGTGTCTGAGTGGGGTATTCTGTTAAACTGCGGCATGGTATCTCAGTGGGCTAGCACTATAAATCGGCATCAGTCCGGACTAGTACAAGCAGCCACACACACGTGCATGCACGTCGCTATATAAGTTCAATAATATTGGACGCGACGTTAAACCCAATTTCACCTCACCTTTGATACCTTAACTTTTGAGGAGTTTGACAAGGACTACAGGATTCATGCCAATTCATAAACTAAAATACGACGATCAGAGCTGATAAATACTGACCTGAAATAGAAAAATCCTTTGATCTTGGCATTCCGTGAAAACTCCAGATTTTGTTTTTATCTCGCCTGCAGACATGCAGTCGTTACCGCCATATTTATTTCAAATAATGTCATTTACTTCAGGCAAATAGCTAAGTTGGTTTCCCGTCATGATATTGTTGACAACATACTGAACTGGTTGTGATAAACATTACGGGATCTAATAAATAGAGGATTCATCACGAGTGTTTTTTAATATGGGAAATATCAACCGAGTCTTAGTTAATCGGTATTTGCCGAGCCTTTGGCGAGGCAAATACCGATTAACGGGACGAGGTTGATATTTCCCATATTAAAAAACACGAGTGATGAATTCTATTTATCATTTTCACATTTTTGCTTCCAAATTAAGGAATAATTGCATTAAACATTAACATCAGCAACTTGTCGAAATCTTACGTATAGATCGTGCGTAGTGATACATGTTTTCCATAGCCATGTAAACCAAAATAAACAATTCGCTGAGAAAAAAAGTTCCTCGGATTATTTTAAACAAAATACTGGAACAGACTTTTGCAGAATAATTGAAACTTTAATAACGGTAACAACAACGATTCTGTGTAATCTGATTATATCTCTGGTGTAACTTCACTTATAATATATAGTTTCAAATCAAACTGCTCGCTCTTCCGGTTATCTAATTTGCATATCTAATTTGCATACTTATGTCATTGGGGTATGACATACATGTTTTTATGTCATAAGCTTATGTCATGGATAAATGCTTAAGTTAAATGATAAATCTTCATTATAAGAATCTTTACATCTCCCAAGACTCCCTGGCGGACGTCAGAGAAGACAATAGTAATGACGTCTCAGTCGTCTCCATTCACGGGCCTTGGTTTTATGAGAATGACAATCAATCATGGCCGTGGGTTTAATTTGGTCTAGCACACGTGAATTGGCACAAGGCCCCTACTGTTATCAGCAAAATGCAGCAGGTGTACATTGAAAGTGCTATGGGGACATCGACTGAGGACTCACTAATCATGCACTGATCAATACAGAGGATGACAATGTGTTATTGACAGTGGGTCCACTGTAAAATAAGAAAATGTCGAGTGCACCTTTTTAAACTAGACTAAGAAACCATAATCAACGATAGAACTTGGAAGAGATAATAAGCCACCTAAACCATTACATCAGAGACTATGCTCTACGTGTTCAACCGGAGATGAAAAACACTATACCTACTACCTACTATACACTTTGGAAAATTATCCACACAAAATATAAATGTCCACAATCATGAAAACAAATTATTTCGCTACGTCCTCTCAAATAATAAAGCCATCAAAATCAACTGCATATGTTTAATATCTATAATTTCAAGCAATAAATACCCGTTAATCTTAATCAACCTATGAATTTTTATGTATAGTATCATCAAATCTGTAATATCCATATCTTCCTGAAATGATTTCTGTGTTAACACGTACGTATGTGTGTGCGTGCGTGCGTACGTGCGTGCATGTATGAATCATATTATGTAGTCATTTAAAGATTACATCAATTCCGTAATGAAATGTTTTCTGCAATAAATATTATCTGATCCTTTAGACAAACAAACAAATAAATAACTAAAAAATATATTTAAAATATATTTTAAAAATAACCCATTTATTTCAATAAAAAATGTTTTGTGTGTACAGCTACCTATTCCAGTGCATTCTTGTAGTTAGACTATGGACTATGAACCGGACCCCAAGACACAACCTTGTGAGTGACAGCTCTAAACTAGCGCGGATACTTTAAGTGTGTTTGTTTATTGTTGTTTAACGCCGCATTCAGCAATATTCCAGTTACTGACGGTTGTGGGAAAATAAGCGAGCCTGGACCAGACAATCCAGTGATTGACATCATGAGCATTGATCCACGCAATTGGAATACGATGACATGCATCAACCAAGTCAGCGAGCCTGACCACCTGATCCCGTCAGTCGCCTCTTACGACAAGCATAGTCGCCTTTTATAGCAGGCATGGGTTGCTGAAGACCTATTCTACCCAGGTCAAGTTTTTGAAGAAGATGACTTTGAAACCACTGTCCAAACTATAGACATATATACATGTAAGTGCCTCGTATAGGCCTACATGTATTGGAATTTAGGTGATATAAAAAAAACTCCATTCCTATTACGAATTGTGACAATAATCAAATAAAAGTACAAAACATAACAAAATCCAAATAGATCTAACCAATTTTGATGCATGACTCCAAATACAATAGGTAAATTTGATAATTGATAAAGAAATATGCGTGGATTAGGAGACGGGCATCCGGCGTAGTAGGCCTAGTGTTTTTATCGGAGTATTCGGGTCAGATTTCCGGCGATTCAATCTCAACACTGTCTGAATCTAACCTTACCTTTAGATTTGTCAATATCCCCTTCCGGTGTGAATTCGACGTTTCCTTTAGCCATATCGATCTGTTGTGGCCAGAGTAACACTAACCCACAGTCGTTTTACGCCGTTACTATGGTATTGGAGCGGAACTTGCTTGTCGCAAGAGAAACGCGATCGGCTATTTCGTCCGCACAAAGCCTGGCGGTCTCGCTCACTGTGCAAATATCCCTCTGATCCCGCGCTCGTCTCCAGTAGCTACTGAGAATGACCACAATAAGCACACACTTATCCTATATAGTATGATCAGTTTCAATAACACGTATGGAGGCAATTCTCGCGTACTGTTGTCTGCTATCCACAGGAAGGCCACGTGTTCAATGTTATTGTGTCAAGCAAATCTGGGTCGCGATGTTTTTTCCTCGATCTCGTTATCAAAATCCAGTTTAAAATGGCTGTCTGTTCTCGAAATGTGTGATCTTTCGAATACCGCAACCAAACAAGCGTCACTCTGTCAGGAAATATGAACTAGCGAAGGCAATTTGATGATGCAATCGTCAAAATCTTCCTTTTACACTTCGACATAGTACACTGATTATGCTCCGCCCACTCGATTTTCAACCAATGAACACGAAGCACAGCATGCACCAGACCGTCGATTGTGCAGTGGACCTGGACTCACATGTTCTACTACTACTACTACTACTACTACTACTACTACTACTTATTAATATTATTATTTTAATAATAATAATCAATTGTACCCAAACATTCTACAAATTCTTTACATAAGTATATTTTAGTATAAAGATTGACATTAGGTGCTACTCCCCATTCTTCCCTAATTCTCTCTCATCTGACCAGGGAGTCTACACATTCTGCAGATTCCTGACCCGTGAAAATCCGGTGTAGAATAGGTCTTCAGAAACCCATGCATGCTTGTCGTAAGAGGCGACTAACGGGATCGGGTGGTCATGATAAGGCTTGCTGACTTGGTTGATGTCTGTCATCGTATCCATTTACGAAGACCGATGCTCATGGTGTCAATCACTGGATTGTCTGGTCCAGACTCGATTATTTACAGACCGCCGTCACATAGCTAGAATATTGCTGACTGCGGCGTTAAACAACAAACAAACTGTAGATTCATTGTATACAAACAATTACAATGCAAACAGTATCACGTCTTTGACTAATGTCAAGCCGATATGGTGATACTATAATAGAGTCACGGAAAAAGCCGTACAGTGTATTTAGAATCGCCGTTCCTGTAGCATGGGGGAAATGAACCTCATGTCCTTTTATATATATTCCAGTTAATAAATCACGAAAAGAAAATCGTGATAAGAATTCAGACACTGTGGTAACACTTGACTGATTGTTATTTTAGTCATTAATTGGTACACATTGGAAACATCTCTTCTTAACGAACATACTTCTCTATATGTTTCTTTTGGCGGTGAGTATAAATTCTTATTTTGATAATTAATACATTACTACTAAACTATATATGAACAAGATAGAAATGTGAGCATCTAAATGTTATTATGAAAGTGCATACAGACAGCAAGTGTGAGGTACTGCATATATACACTACTATATTAATAATGCCGCCATGTATACAGACTGTTTAACCAGGATCCGCGGACAGCTCTGGTGATGGGTTCCAGTCTCAGATTCGGTATCTAGAACACCCGGCCGTTCTCCTGACCAGTGATGGGGGCGCTAGAGCTAATCTGCCGCTTTAAACGGGGAATACCAATATGAAGGATAAGAAGATTGGCTGTATATCGGGGCACGGATGTGAACTCACATCGGACCGGACTGCTCGGTATTTGACGATCCTCCTATCGAGAACGTGATCCAAATATTTCCTGCGTTGATCAATCTCATTAAAATCAGATCTTAGTTTTTGCTACCGCTTTGTTTAGCATAGCGAGAACTAAGATCTGATTTTAATGAGATTGTGCGTTGATCGATGAAGATCTTGTCGTTTATCGTAAACAGGAGTAGTCATCCATAGCTATACCCGGATCTGCGAGACGAGGGTTCAAATACGAAATTCACCTGTATTATGAACGTCGGTCTGTTAACACCTACTTTGAACATATCTGCGCATCTTCCCGAGGCAAGGGAGGTAACTGACTGTAAAGGTCCAGTTTCCACTTTTAAAGTCAGTTGACTACCTTGCCTCGGGAAAGTGACATCTGCGTGACCTCTCTGTTTCCTCTCGCCTACAGTTGATACTCCGTCACAAAACTGTGATTCTGTTCAAAGCGGAGACCAAACTCACTCGAGTATTATAAAATAGCACCAGCAACTTGAATAGCACCATATACCTGTCTGGGCTAACGCTTAGTCTCTGAACATACAAATAATTTTGATATAAAACAAACTGAATTTGAAAAGGGGCCCCGGTGATATGGGAGATTCACAGGGCAACTTAGACTTGCTTCATTTAGTGCTATAACATTACAAAAACGGCTGGGCAGAAAATACTATAACTCAGAGACGGTGACACAATCTGCTACCTGTCGTACGAGGCGACTTATAATTAATAGATCGGGCAGTCAGAACCTGGTGACATGAACCCCAGCGTCCCACCTTAAACTGCGTGGATCGTTTCTTATAATATCAATCACTAGAATGTCTGGTCCAGACTCGATTACTTTCAGGCCTCCGTCATATAACTACAGTATTGCTTAGTGCGGCGTAAAACAACAAACAAACAAAACTGTGACAGCTGTACCTTGTCTTTGTCGGCTGTACCATGTGTCACCACTTTAAAAGTCCGGTAAAGGCTGTGAAACTGTATACTTGACGGTTGGTTGGTTTGTTTGTTGTTTAACGCCGCACTCAGCAATGTTCCCGCTATATGACGGCGGTCTGTAAATAATCGAGTCTGGACCAGACAATCCAGTGATTAATATCATGAGCATCGAGCATAGTCGCCTTTTACGGCAAACATGGGTTGCTGAAGATCTATTCTACCCCGGATCTTCACGGGTCACTGTCTACTTGTGTGGGCACCAACACTGTGTCTGGCCGGATGGAAATGATGTTTTTTCCTTCCTCCTACATGAAAATAGTTCCCGGTTTGAACTTATTCAAATTTATGTTTCGACCGATGACGCTCAAACATCGCCATCTTGAAATAGCTGAGATGCAGGAGGAGCTGGTAATCCTTGTTGTGAAACTTTGTAGGTACACACTACTACTACTACTACTACTACTACTGCTACTACTACTACTACTACTACTACTACTACTACTACTACTACTACTACTACTACTGCTGCTGATATTATTACTATTACCACCACTACTATTGCTGCTGCTGCTGCTGCTACTACTACTACTACATACCAATCATTGATATTATTCATTGGATGCGTCTTAGACGTAAATACTATTTCCAAAAAGACTTGATCATACCAAGGATATATGGCCATCTGTGGGAACATGTTATCAAACTTGTTACACTTAAATGTAGTGTAGGCCGAAACCGAATTCGGTTCATCAACTTTCACCACAAAAATCTTCTCTGAACGAAGGCAGTGTGTGTATATATATTTTGCATAGTTTGTGGAGATATCTTATGTCGCTTCATTTAATATGCTGCTCGGTGGACATTTAGAGTTATCGGCCCTCGGAAGTGACATTCAGAATAGCTCGGGATTTTCCGACAAATCCTGTACAAGTTTGTTTACATCGAGAAATGAAAGGGCACAGGACGTTGTGTGATAGAATAACAAAATGGCGGGAGAGTGAAGGATGTGTTCAGGAAGGAGTGCACTGTGATCACTATCATGCCACAGTTGCTCACAATTGCATATTTTCTGAAAAACGAACATGAAGAGGAAATCGTCAACAGGGTACATGCTTTAGAAATAAATTAGAATCTGGTGAATACATGGCATGACTACTGAAAAAAGAACATAACACGGGCAAATACAAAATCAGCTGATCCATACTAACTTGAAAATTATTTGTAGACTATGGTCGTTACTTTATTCAAGGACAATATACATATAACTAGTTGGATGGTCGGAGGCATGTGACTTGAAGGACTATCTTGCACGAACGTTGAACAATAGTTCAGCAGCGCAAGTTTCCTTTCGAAAAAAAGGAAGTGGGTCGATAGTGCAACAACAAACACTTCACAGCGTACCTCGTATTGTTCCCGTTATAGACTGGACATGTTTAGACTTAGATTAACATAGCATACCTCAGGGTGCATATGTGGCCCGATATCTGACTACGACTTTCTCCAAACAGACGTGATGCATTTGCCAAGGTGAACATGCTGATCTATGGATTGTCCTAGTTCAGTTTGTACTAGATCTAATGTAATGTTTCGAAGTTAGTTTTTCGTTAAACTTGTTAAATGACAACATGGAGAATGTACTTACCTGTTCAATTCTATAGGCTATTCTTTTATTTACTTTAAAAATAAGGACAAGACCATTAGTAATATAAGCTTTAGACAAAAAAGTTTATTTTGGTCAGGGGCTCCAGGTTCTTTTGGAAACTGGAAACATATGAAAGAACAAACTTTATCGGAATATCCTTGTTTATTTTGTTTAATTCAGGGTTAGAACTAAACTCAAAAGCTTCACAAGCCTTGGTAATGATAAAATGCCATTGTATATTAAAACAATAGGGAAATTTAGAAATTTGTACTAGCCCACAGGAATTTATACTGGCCCCGGGTTAATGTTAATTTCTAATCCTACTTATCATGTGTGTGATCATTGTTGTGCTAGATGGTACGATGGGAGTCTGACGGTTGTCACTTTCAGCGTTAGAAATTGGCACTAATCCTATAGTCCTTGCCAAACTGCCCAATAGTTAAGGTATCCTAAGTACCAGTAGAAATTTGCCCATTTTAAGGGTTTTGCTATATGTTATCATTATAAGGACTAGTGGGCTAAAACTGTTAGATTCTATTCCTGCACTTTGACCTACCGAAAAGGCCTGCATCACCTGGCACACTGCACTTCACTTCTCTTCATTTATGTCTAAAGCCTTTAGATATATATGGAATTCTTGTAATCATGTTTAAGGGCCATGGATAGTCTTAACTTTCACGTATTGGATCAGAATGAAATGGTCATTTTAATGTTCAATTGGATTAATTTATATTATTCATATTTGCATCTATAAGCCCGTGGGTTTGTTAGAACTCATAATGTTAGTGAATTAAGCTAACAATGGTTTGAGAACTCATGTACCTTGTGTGCAGTGAACCCTTGGTAATCCAGCGTTCTCTCTGAGTCACCAGTATTAACAAGTTTCCAGAATTCAGGGGTGTTCAATTAGTATGCCCGACTTGCCTGACCGTGAAAATAATGTCCCAGGCAAGTGGGAAATGTAATTAGTTGCTCTCGGACCATTATGAAAATCAGCGATATTAACTTTGAAACAGAGAACATGCATCTTATGTTTGTCAACTGCAGATGAAGTACCATCTTTCCTAGGCAAGGGAGTTAACTGACTTTAAAAGTCCAGTTTCCATCCACCCTTGCCAAACTAGGCTGGAATTCCTGGGCTCGATCGTAGCGCCACCAGTGGCTTTTACGAGTCAAATCCCTT